ACTTCTCCTCAAACAAGAAGCAGAATTTGACTTATAATATCTTACGAATCCGAAGAAGTAAAACCAACCACAAAACAAAGGACTTGACAGATTTAAATTGAACTTATCAGTCGAACAAACCTAGCAATTAAATAGCAATCGTTGAGTATCGCTAAAATAAAATTGCTCACGAGCGAAGCTCACCTTGATAGTAAAAGAAGACGATCAGCATCTGATGGATCCTCGTCGAGGTCATATTTTCACTGTCTGTCTATATCTTGTATCCGAACACGGTGTCGCGTTTTCACCGATCTCGGGCACGCGTTGTCACAGGCGAGTCACACTTCGCGACCGACGACGACGACGAAGACGACGACGAACGGCACACGGGAGCAAAACACATCTGTCATCACCCACACTCATCAACCATCGGCCACCACCTGCGACAATTAATCGGTACGCGGCGCACTCTCTCGCGATCGAGGCTGTGTACCGGTCAGCGCTGGTACATCCTCAGCCTCTCTCCTCGGGCCCCTTCTTCGCCGCCCCTTCTTCCTTTATCCCTGCGTCAGAGATGGGCAGAATTTTACTCGGATAGCCGACGGCCAAGGAAAACGAACCCGCAATCTATTTGCAACATTTACTACGATCGAACAAAACTTTTATTTTCGTTGTGGCTAAAATTTGATTAGGCTTAGCTCAGGCTGGCAATCGTTACTATAATTCGTTACTTTGAATGAGATCTTGGGGGTGTTACTAGATCAGCTTCGTAATTTCACTATGCGTAAATAAATTTCCAAAGGGATCCAAGCTTTTACCGAACAACGTCCCTCTCTGTTATCACTGTTACTAATTATACACAAGAGCCCGATTCCTTATTTCAATCGACACGAAACTCTATCTCGTCTATCGAAAATTTTGCCCATCTCCAACCAGAGGATTCGAGATTCACCTTGGTCTCAGCGTTCCATGGTCCTGGAGCCCAGGACCTCAGGACTCTCGGGATGATCGGAGGAGATGATTTCCCGCGCGTTCTTTCTTTGTCACTCGACGACGATATCGGAGGGAACGGTGCCTTTATCGATAGGCGCGAAAAATCGACACAGAGGCGGGATCTCGATAGCAGTCGAGCTGGTCCACCGTGGAACGTTCGCTAACCGAGTGATCTGCTGGTCGCGGTGATAACCGGGTAATCGCTCCGCCTCGCTCAATCCGAGCGGATACGACGCCGAACAGCCGCTGGTAACTAGTCAAGCAAAAGGAAGGGGTAACGAGGAGTTAGACCAGGGGGGTGGAGGCACTTGACGGAGTACCAGACGATTCTAATATTCGTGATCAAACCGCTGAAGCCTCCGTGTTCGAGAGTTTCTAGCGCCGCCCGTGGCGTACACACTTAGGAACTGTCGAAGGACAATGTCGAGAAGTGGATATGTTTCTAGCACTCGTTTAGGTTAGGTCTGAGAGAAAAATGGGTAACATGACCAAGAGGCCTTGCCAGGTGTAAACAAGACTCAGGAACTTTCACTATTGGTAAGGGATGGGATTCATTCTTGTTCGTTGGTTAGGTTTGAGGTAGAATATTGTTGCTGTTGAAGGTAGTTTTTAACGTAGGATTGTTAACGTTGAAATTGTTTATATGACTAGGTATGCTAAACAAAAAGTTAGTTACTGAAGTAGTATTATTTTATTTAGTCAGACTTCTTCAATAGACAAGCTGAAATTCGTGAGCTGACTGCTTTGTATCAGAAAGTAATTTTAAAGTCCACCAGTTTAGATTCCAACCAATCTAGCAGCTTTGAGAAGGTTAAATGAAGATCAACGAGCCTTCTTGTTAATTTCTTCTGGGCGTTAATTGCCTAAAGAGCCCCCCGAAAGAAGAGAGAGCAGAGTGCAAGCAGTTTTTCAGGGTTGAAAGATTGTACCATGAACTCGCAGAGTCTAATGATGAATACTCGGGAGCGGAAGTCAACGTCTTCGTTGTCAGAGCGTCGCCAACGACGATTAGGTCGCGTGGGTGGATACATAAAAGGGAGGGACCGTCGGTGGAGCCATTGGCTACACCTATCGCGCGAACCTTTTCGCCGCAGCGTTCCTACGAGCCTCCCGTCGAAGATCATTCTCTAAAATGATCTGATAAAAATAGAAGAGGTCAGTGTCTGCGATCGAGTCAATGGAAACTAAAGCGCCTTTAAATTTATAGCTATCAGAGTGACCTGGAAAACATTGAGCGTTCCAATTGCTTTGCTTTTAGGTTATTTTGGTCTCATTAATTTAATAGTGCGTATGAATGATTCAAAACCACTACGAAGCCTAGGTCAGAATCTATGTTGGTGGCTGGACTTACCAACAGAGTGTTTTACGTTACCAGCAGACTAATTCGAGTTACCGAACGAGGAGTCTACCTTATCGAGTCTTAACCACAGACAGTATCTATGTTCAGTCTTCTAACTCTAGGTGTGCAACTTTTTACAACGAAGAAATTAATATGACGTTGCAGAAGAGTGCAGTCACTTTCAGGACGATGTCAAAAGTCCCATGGATGGTTAGGCATTGATAGATTAATTTCTGTAGGGTCGCGTGTCTCTTCAGGGGTCCACTTCTATGCACGGTTTAACATTTATTCCGCGTATGGGGGCCGTTAATCCCGTCGGGTAGCCTTTGACCACGAAAAAGCGACGTTGAAAGGACACGGACTCGACCAGTGAAATGGAAGGGTAATTCTTCCGCTCAAGGCGAATGAAAGGGTATTTTTATTCCTACATGTACTGTGCTTTAAATCAGAGGCACTACATTCCTTCCATTCGCTTCACACCTGTACAAAATCTTCACTTTGAAATATCCTGGAAAAACGAGTTTCCAATCCAGATAATAATAACTGTCGTGCATCGTCTAATTTGAAACGTTCGATGGCAACTATTAAATTCAACCAATAAAGTTCGTCCATATCGATCGAGATTTATCAGATCTCGATCGTTGCGTAGTAGAGCGTCGCCGTCGTCGACGAAACTGCACATCGTCGAGCAGAGCCGCGCGCCATTTGCGTGGGTGACCTCAGATTACGTGACATCCGTCCCTTGCCGCATTAGCAGACTGCCCACAGCCTTGTCACGCTGTTGAGATAATGGATCCATTCGCATGGATCACGATCTAGGATTGGACGTGCCCGGGATACTGGAAATAAATGCGTGCATAATGACACCGACCGTATTATTTCATCGACGAGTCATACAAGGGAACGGAACGAGTTGTTCCTGGTCCACCTGCCATGCGAACCAATCAATCCCCCGGGAAATCGAAAACGAAGGTTCCCAAGCGAGTATCCCAACGTTCTCACTCCGCTGGCAAAGCGGTAGAGCACTCGTTAGGTAAATCAAATTGGTCTCTTGATAAAGTAGAGTTTACATACTTTTGGTAAATAAGGTTGTCTTCCGCGCTTGTGAAAGCTAGTTAAATTAGAAAAATGAATAAATCAACAGAATAATAAATGAAGCTCTCGAGGCATCGAAGTTGAAGAATTGATCAAGAAGCTTCCCTTCCACGCTCGCAAAGGGTAGTCAAATCACCAAATAAATATATAAATCGAGGCCTTCGCTGGTCTAATTATAGATCCGCCCCCGTGACGAAGTTTCCAGTAGTTCGATGAGATGAAATTGCCGGCCAAGGCGGTGAGATCAATCCCGAATCATTGCCATTTCGACGTAATCAGGCCATCGTCCAATCGCATAGGCCTGAATATATTTTCGTCTGTTGAGACAAGAAACGCGGAATCTCGGTCTGGCCTTTAATTCGCGGAGAGGCTGCGTGCGAGCCGCTATTCAAACGCGCGAAGAAGGGACATTTGCGCAACGTGTCTACAGCACTGATTACCGGGAATTACCGTAATTTTCATGATTTCCCCCGATGCCATGCGTCGCGGGTACGCGCGCTGGAAAATTGGAGCAAGCGCTGGAATGTTAGTCTGATCTAACCCAAGGAAACAATTTTTGTGTAAACATAAGTTGAAGACGAGGGCTTGGTATTTTTTCGGGAAGTAAACAGAAATTTTTAGATAAACCTATCTTTAAATGTAAATGCTCTTTTGGGATTTTAAATGGTGTGAAGTCGATGAGAAAGAAATTTGTATTACATAGAGAGAAGTCGTGTAGACATGTTGGAATTTTGTTACGAATTTTATTTGAGGTGGTCCTCGGGGGCTATAGCTATGATTACTGATTATAGCTATAGTACGGGTTTAGCAATCCCGAGGTACCCGAGATATAGTAGGCAACAGACTATACCCCCTAATGGGAATGCCAGAGAATTATTAATTAAATGAATGTGAAGAACAAGTAAATCAAGATCTGAATCTGGCAGAGTGAAAATTAAATGCAAAAAGAAAGAAAATTGGATCTTCTGATCTGAAATTATCAGACTGCCCCCAATGAAAGTACTACGAGAGGCATATTTTTCTAAAATACGTTTGTATTTATTAAATTTGAACGTTATAAACTATAGCATATGCATATATTATGTATATGATATTAACGTAATATATTATATTAAGACATGATGATATAATATATCATACACTATAGATATAGGTATATCATCCCTCCCTCAGTTTCAGTTTCTACGAACGTGAATCGAACTCGATATCTCGAATCGAGTACAGTTAGACAGCGATCACTTTTCGATTACTCTCGCGATAATCACTCTTGGATCGATCAGTAATCGTAAACTATGCTCGTAATGCGCAGTCGTAAATCTGCGAGTTCAAATCTGTCGGAGCTAATCGTCTCTGATCATTCGATACGCGTTAAATATGATTTTTCATCACTGAACAGTAGCGCAACTAGAAGGGGGAGATACCACCATTTTAGAAAAGAATTAAGAAATATCTTTATAACAAAAATGTTAAAAAATGCTTTATTAACGTGTAGGAATATAAACAAATTTTGCCTCACCTGGTTGGAATTTCTGGTTGCGCCACTTCTAGCTAACCATAACGCTAGAACTACCTATCGCCACCACTTCATCCTTGAAATTGATTAATTAATTAATTAGCACCACTTTTCAGAAATTGCCTCCAAATATCGAGGCTAGAGCATTGTTATAATAGAGTAATTTAAAAGGAAAGTTAAAAAAAAATGATAAAATTGATTAGCTTGATAGTTCTAGCGATAATCATGGCGCACATTATGCTCAACGATGGAGTCGGCGTGGTTCGCGAGTCGCCCGACACATCTAGAGGGGAATTGGAGTTGAACGTTGATGTGATCCCATACACAGACACACCCCACACCCATTTATTTTATTTCCTTTCAAATGTCGCTTTATTTTTCATTTTATTTGATAATAAATTGTCTACAATTTGTCCTAGGTTAGTTACGTCTTGGAGTTGTTCTCGTGGGGAGAGGTTCGCGAGAAAAAGCATAGGTCGATCAATGAAACGGTGAAAAATGGCGGGAACAGGGATAGTGAACAGCGAGCACTCGCGAAATTTTTGTTTTTTTTTTGTTTTTTTACCGAAAAGGAAGAACGAAAAGAATGTAACGAAAACGCGTCTCTGTAGTGAACGTTGGTTCTTTCCCTTTTATTATTTGTTTGTTACTTGGTTTCGTGTCGCGCGTACAGGACGAAAGGGGACGACAAGCGAAAAATAGCGAGGACAGACGGTACAGAAGAACGTTGCTGCGTGTATGCGTGTGTGTAAGTGTGTCTGTGTACCTGTGGTTAGGTGTAGGTGTGTAGTCGAAGCGATTTCACGGTGGGCGAAACTTAAAGGAAATTAATCGTGTCTGTTGCGCGCGTGAACGCCTCAAAAAATTATGGCAGGGACCACAGTTCGAAAGTCGCTTTGCCCCACGAAAGCTAAATAATTACAGAAAGTGGAAAGTCGAGAGCCATTTGGTTGAACACAGAGTGGGGCTATACTTGAATCATTCCCAATAATAATTGATTGAAAAATACTACCGTATAACATTAACAATTTATTGAAATAAAAATTCCTGAAAATTCCCGCGAGTGTTCACGCGATGCAACTCTAACCGACGAGACGAACAATTCACGAAAATGTCAAAAAACGTAATCGTTATGGGAATCGATCGATCCACTCTCGCGCGATCCCTACCGATCGTCGATCATCTCTTTTGCCCCTTCGCAGCAGTGTTGGGCAACGATCGCTCTGTGACCACTAAACTGCGAATTATAAACATCCATAACATATGCTAACATGGAAATCGTACAGAAAGTGCATCACACGAATTAATACATATATAACAATATTAATGTCTTGCTTTGTGTAAGTGTATACGTTTAGATTAATATGTAATAATAGCACACACGTGTGATCTACAATCGTAACTCGATAGTTTACAATCTTTCAAAACTTCCATTAATAATTAATTACAATTATCGTTATTGCAGATTTTACGCGAGCAGAACCATTAATATCGTTATATCAATTTACGGAAATACCCACTGCACACACTTTTCATATGCTTTCTCCATACTAGCATCAAACAAATGTTTATAATTTGTAGTCTATCACGAAGCAATCGCAGTGAAACTTTACTCAACGCTGCTCGCAGGTTGCGCGCGCGCACGGTGTTTCCTGCGAACGTTCAAGCTACATTGGATGAGAATTTCACTCGCGACTCTGAAAAATACGCTATGCCAGATGGCTTTCAGGTACGTAAAGAGCGAATACCTAAATTAATTTCGTTCACAATCCGGCGGAGTACGCTCGTACTCGCTCGAATATCTAAATAAATAACGCGACGAAGGTGTGTAAATCGCGAACGCAAAGAAAGCCGTGACGATGATTCGAGGTAGACGGAGAAGAATCAGAAAAAGTGGAAGAAAACGGAGATCGCAAATGGAATCGAGGGAAATGTAATAGAAGCAGAAACAGACGAAGTGGAAAGTTGAGGGGGGAGGGGGGAGGGGGGGGCAGGGATCAGGGAAGAAGAAGGGTGTTTAGGAACGAAAGGAATAGACGTGAAACGAAGTTATCGATAATGATTGTTGATGAACGTTACACGAACGAATTCACGATTCAACCATATCATTCACTTAACACGCGATCGCGCGAAACCATTGTCCATTCTCTCCTTCTATAACGGATCCTTCGTCTCGATCTCTATATACACACGTACAGTATATTTATATATACATATATATATATATGTGTGTGTATACAGAGATTTTGCAACGAATGTACGGTGAGTCCTCGAGTTACATGAATTTTTAAATGCTCGCATATTTGTCTTTAGACACATTTGCTATCGTGTAAATTAAATTTTTGGAATACCTGCAATATAGGAGATCATAACATTTGGGGTACCAAATGTACTGCGAGGTGATCGAAAGATTTATTTAACATATGTACTCGTATATTCAATAAACTTCTTCAATGTTTCTTTCCATAGAAGAGTACAAATAGATCCATTCAATTTAAATACTTAAATCGAGATTGTGTACCAAATCATACACACCTGGTTTCAGGTGGTTCGTATGAATTAATCACGTGAATCGAGAACTTACTGTACGCGTATACATACATATTTATATATATATATATATATTTCTCGCTAAATCTCTCTTTGCGGTTTCGAGCAAGACTTTTGAGCCATTCGTGCCGGCGCATCGGAGATGCATTTTATTATCCGTACTCTCTTCGATCTCAGCGATCGTTCACTCTCAGCGCGTCCTTTTGAGATCGTTGTATCTAACTATGATATATCTACACGTTACTTATATACCTATATCGATTGGTTGGTTTCCTCCTCTCACGCTCGTATTCTCGTCTTCGTTTCGACGGGCGTCTAGACAGGTCTGACGATCGACGGTTCTCGATCTTCCTCCTTTTCTTAAAAGGGTTGTTAACGTCCCTCTCGACTTTCTACGTGACAACGTTTATGCTCGTCGCGCTCGATCAGTGGAAGCAGCTAGGTGATTTCGATTCGATCGCGGCCGTTCGACGTACAAAAAGATTTATCGATCGAGATTGACTGTTCCTTCGTTATTTATTTTTCTTTTGTGGTGGTGTCGAGCGTCTCGACGACGCCAAACGTGGACACGTAGATCGGACGCTGGAGACGGGCAAAATTTGATTCGAATAATACAAACGAATAACTATTTATTCGCGAGGTTTATACGACCGAAGGTATGTTATTCGTTCATTTTACAATTCAGATTCTAGAATTCATTCGGTAACGAACGAAACGTGTTGTATCTTTTATTCGTTACTCGCGATTTTTATTTAGATTGAGAATTTCGCCCGTCCCCGGTGCCTACAACACGATTATTATTATGATACAACCAGCGACGCGATCGATCGCGACGTTTCGTTGATCGCATGATCGCGCGCCAGCTTCACAGTTCTCCGTTGCTCTCGCAAATCCCCGGGTGATTAATTAATTAATTTTAAATGGAATTAATCGTCGCCGCGTTCGTCGTTTATCGTTGATTAATACGCTACACGCTACGAGTCGTTTACGATTTACAATATCAATTAATTATCAAATTATTAAGTCAATCATTAGAATTACTTTAGAATATTGGTACTCTTTCGCGTCGCCTCCGTTTAGTGTTTTTATTTATTTATTTATTTATTTATTTATTTATTTATTTATTTATTTATTTATTTATTTATTTATTTATTTATTTCATTCCGTATCATTGCTCTAACCTCTCCTCGAGTATATTCGCGAGTATTTCACGCGATTTCGTCTTTGAACGTTAGTCACACGCGCACGGCATTCTTCCTCGCGTATGTTCACGTCAGAGACTGGGCAAAATTTTATTCGAACGGTAGACGACGAATAAAATCAAATGGCGATATATTCGCCACGTTTATTCGATCGTACGGTTATACGAATAAGATTTTCAACGCGAAATACAATTGTAGAATTTAAATTCAAGGTTTTTATTCAGGAATAAAAAGTTGTACATCTTTTAATCGTTATTCGGGATAAGAATTTTGCCCATCTCTGGTTCTCGTTCGTGTTATTTCGCCTGTCTTTTCCGCTACGATTCTCAGTCTCTCGGCTCTCACACACAACGACCTTGCACACACACACAAACACATTTATGCACTTACACACACACTCGCGCGCGCGCACGCATTTGAATGCATTGTGACGGAAAATTGTCGGCACGTACAATTTGATAAAATTGCGCAGAATAAAACGATGAATTTTGAAAAATTAAAATATACTTCGCTCTGTTGTGTGCGATTTACAAAATTGTTAAATATTCAAGACAAATACGATATGTGAATATTGGCAGCATTCGATTTGTCACTTGCATGACAAAAACATGAAATTTGTGGGGGCGTTAAATTTAAACAAAAATTCAAGTGTATAGATATGTGTACATATTAGCCTACATGTAGTGTAATCAATTTCTTGCACGTGAAAGACACGATAAACAAAAAGAAAGTAAAGTGCTCATTCTTTCCGAAATGAAAGTCCTTGTTCTCTTATTTTTGCGCACTGTTATCACACTATATCGTCAACGTGTCAATAATTTTGCGATTCACTGTACATTGTAACAGAAAATTATAGATCGTCCGCGTCGTACCGCACGTTTGGTTTTTGTAACTGTGCGTCGAAGTATAGTTGAATCGTGAGTAGAGCCCTTGCTAATATTTATATAATATAAGTATGTATAATACGTACGTATAAATAAGTGTTTGTACTATAAAAAAAAAGAAAAAAATAATGTGAAACGCTGAGTCGTCGAGAGCTGGAAATCGTTGCTCGTCGCCGCGGACCGAGAGCGTTCGATCGTCTCTCTTTCTCTTCGGTTAAACGCCAGAAAAGAAGCTCCCAAAATATTCACGGAACGCCTGAAAGGTATGAATATGGACGATCTCTCGTCCGTGTAGGTCGCGTTCGTTCTACGTGACAGACTTGGGCAATGATCGTTTTGTGATGCTACGATTTGTGACAATAAATCACAAGACTGGCATTAACGAATGATCGATTACATTGTGCCCAAGACTGGTACGTCGTTAGTTAGCCCGTATATCCTAATCGAACGCTCTGCGTGCCGTTCGCGTGCATCGATCTCGACTCGAAGATGATTTAATACAATGCGTTTTGGTGAGAATTAGGTGGGTCTCGAAGAACGCCATTCGTGTTATGCGCGTGTGTCTTGTACTCATCCGTATATCTCTGGCTCTCTATCGTTCTCTCCGTATTGTGTGCGTGTCGTGTCGATTTACGTGTCCGTGTGTAACTTGTGCGTACTCGATTCAATTTTCACGCAAGACTTAAAGAACACCGTGCAAAAATGATCTATTGAAAAATAGTGAATTCGTTCGATAACTCTCAGAAACTTAGAGTAAAAAATCAAATGTGTGAACACATCGTGTTTTGTAATTAATGTGACAAAGAACTCGAGAAAATTATGAATTTTATTTTCAGGGAATCAATTAATTAGATATGTAAATTTCACCATTTTCGTCTTGAAATCTTTGTGATACTTTGTGTCTACCTTCGAACGCTGATTGTAAGTGCGTGAAACTAGGATTAATTCTCGTTTTTTAATCGCGTGGAAAGGGAATCGAGTGCACGTGTACGCGCGTGTGTAACTCCTTTTGTTTTTCCCCTAAATTGCACGAACCAGGGCCGATCGGCGATGCTCCCGACGCGAGTGCACGATTCGCGTGTATTCTTTCGAGAGGGGGCCGGCCTCTTCTTTTCGCAATTTCGTTTCCCGATCCAAACAAAGGGTTGTCCCCCTTCCGCAGAGATGGGCAAAATTTGATTCGATTTTATTACTTTGGACAATACTTTATCACGAATAAAAACGTCGCACATATCCACACTGTTCATTCGAGTCAAGATAAACTTTTATACGTTCAACGTGAGTTATAATTTCATTTCGTAATCCTGATTGCAATAATGTATATATAAGAGAGGAAGTAAAATTTCGTGGCAATTTTGGTGCCCCGAGCCCCCCATTTCTGGATCACGAGTTACAAGTCACTCTCTATTAAAATTTGGTACACGAGAAAAATTATATTTTTTTAACAAGTTTACATAGTTCCATAGGAAAATTTATTTTTGAGAATAGAATAAACCTGAGAAAAAAATTGAAATATTTTAAATACCATGCACAGTCGCGTAATCTCTACCCGGAATCGTCTTACGCAATCTCTCCATGACTCGTTCAACGATCTACTTTTAAAACAAAGACTTCCCCTATGCTTTTTCTCTTAAAATTTCCACCAACTCGCTAACATCGAACAATTGCAGAGGATCCGCGTCGTCCGAGGAGGACTCAATAGCTGAGCTCGAAATCGTTAAGGTGCTCCTAGAGACTAATCCACACGAATATTAAAACCCAAACAGGAAATTCGAAAGAACGTAAAAGTAGTTGCCATAAACACGATAACTTTCGTCGTATTGAACGAATAGGAGACGAAAGTGATTCACCTTTTATCTATCATTTGACGAGGCATTTTGCACATCTCTGCCGTTCCGTTTGGCGGTTCGTCGAGCACGGTTCGCCGAGCACGGTTCGCCGAGAGCGAGCTTGGACGCTCGCCGAGCGATTTGAACCCCGATGGCGCGATGTATATGTACACGAGTGTATGTACACGTAGAAAAGACGGGCGAGCGGGTGTCGAGATGTCGCGGGGGTGGGCGTGCACGCGCGTGTACGCGAGCCTCGTGGCCGGCCGAGTGGGCGCGCGCGTAGATTCAAAGAACATTACGATTAGTTTTACTTTATTTTTTTTTTTTCACGTTTACGTTGCTTAAGAAAAATTATTGTGCCGATAATATGTTGGGTCGCTAGCGAAACCCTAAACAGGCAGTGCAGTACGAGTGAGTCCTTAAGCAATCTCGAGGCAAGCTTCGGCCTAATATCACGTTTCACGAGTCCATTTTGCTCATCGTTATAATTACTTGTTTTTTATTTATTTAGTTTCTCCTGTGTATACGTGTTCGTGTGTCTCTGTACGTGTATGTATGACGGTGTGTACGGTGTACGCGTGTAGTAAATCTTCGATTATCTTACGTGTTTGTTTTTTATTTTTTTGTTGCTTCGCTTTCGCATTCATTTTTCTTTTTTCTTCTTTTCTCTCGTTAATTATCACTTACAGTGTACGATTACGGTTAATCTTACGTGTCGTTTTGTATCTCATTATTAATTCTTTATTTTCTTGCTCGTTAATTCATTATACGTTTCGTTAAAGGTGTAACGGAGCACGGTACAGTTTCTTTGGAGAGTATCGTGCCGGGTGTTATGCTCGAGAATCCTCTTCGCACTTTCCCTCCATCGCCTAGAATCGTAACGGCACCTAGGCGATGACTTCACCGAACGAACTTTTTCCATCCCGTGAACTCTCATCCTTTGTCGTCCTTTTCGCTCTCGGCTCCGCTATTATAATACAAGTATCGCTAAAAATCGCTGTAGTTGGCGGGAGGTCGACGATCCTAGAGCTTTTCGAACACATCGTCGGAGTCGTCCGTTCGCTGGATTCTCCTCGAACCGTCGATTCTTGGAACGCGACTCGCCTCGAGTCGACGAATCGGACCTTGGACGCGTCGTGTCCGCTTAAATGTACATAATTCTACTGCGTTAGGTTCTCTCGTCGAGAATCGTATGTATCCTGAGCCCACGCTCCCCGCGAGAGCGTTTCCGTAGCGATGGTTGCCCAGCCGAAGTGGAATTGACTTGAGGTTGCCTACGGCGGAATCGCGCCACGACGCCGACGTATCCTCGTGCTTCAACGGTTGGTCTACTTCCGCGTTATGCGTCAAAGGGTTTTGTTGGGTTTGTTCGGACATGTATGCCTTTCGCCAGCCCCGCGAAATCATCGTGCGTCTTCGTCGTCTGTGCCGTCGTCGACGAACGAACGTACGTAATCCTCCGCGACGTGACCGTTTCCAGGGAAATAGCGAAACGAAGCAGGGAATCTGAGTCGTGTAATCGAACAATGGGGAGAAAATCCAAGGATGCGTGCAGAGCCTAGTGCTAGCGAAGAGTAGTGTCAACACGCGCTCTCCAGGTGCGCGCTCTGCCGCCTCCTCGCCTGCCGTTGTCTAAATTGATGGAATTCCGCCTTCATTGCCTGCACCCTGGCCTCGATGTTGTCCCTGGTGTATCTAAGCGGTTGATGATGGACCGTATGCACCTGGTGAATGTGTGGCACGTGGATGGCGTGGATCTGATGGACAGGCGGCCTCTCCTCTCTGGTAGGCGTGGAGGCGGACGTTGGAGTAGGGGTGCAGGAGACAGGATCGAACTCGTAATGTCCGTCGACGCTGCCCGCGTCCACGGCCATTTGGATGTGCGTGTGACCCACCTTGGCCTGGTCCTGCAGCTCCAGCCACCTGCCTACCAGGGGCGGCGGCGGTGGCCTGTACGGCGGTGGTCGCCATTCGGCCACCGTGCTGCCGCTCCTGGAGCTCTGGTTCTGTTGCGAGGTGTTCTTGCTACCGAAGCCAGAGCTGCTGGATCTGCTCTCCGGGGACGTCTCCAGGTCGGGGGACGCGGCCAGCTCGGGCGCGGATCTCGCGTGCCTCGCGTGCCTAGGTGGAAGCCTGGCTCTGGGTCTGCCGGCGGGTTGGGGCGGCGAGGAGGTGGCCAGAGGTTGGACAGGGACGAACCTCCTAGACTCTGCGTGGATGGCATTCAGCGAGGGCAGCTCCTGACTGTATCGCTGGTGCATGGTGCGCAGCTGTAGGTAATCGGGCGGCGTCGGGAAGGAATGTTCACCGGATGATGGCTGCCTGACAGAGCTGAGATCGCTGAAGTACAGCGGCGTCCAAGGTACTTGGGGTCCTGTGGGCGAGCTGGCCAGAAACCTGGGCGAGGATATCGTGCAGATAGCTGGCGCGATCCTCGCCAGCGAGTTGACCGTCGCCAGGTGATGAATGGACGGCAAACCGCCGTTGATGGACACCCCGCTGCCGTCTGACCTGAGGCTCAGCTGGCTGGTGCCGACCAGCGGCCGCCGCCAGGAGGACTTGAGCCGCTGCTTGGGCAGGAAACCCCCGTCGTCGCTGCTCGATGCGTCCAGGATGCTGTTGTTCGCCGAGCTGACCACGGAGTCCGCCACGACGAAACGGCCGTCGGCCGCGCGCGAGATCTTACCCAGTGGCCGACCGCGACACGAGTCCGGCGTGTCGGGGGTTAGGATCTCCCGCAGGAGATTTAGACCTGGTACTCGGCTTTTTCTAGGTCTACGGGTAGGACAGAAGGAGCGTTAGACAGATCGCTGCCGTGGCGAGCGCGAGGCTGCGACGGCCAATTACCAACGTGGTGTGGAGGAGACTCTTTTCGAGCTTGACATGGTTAATTTTGAACCTTGGCTCTTGGGAAGCTGTGGTCGATGGAAGAGATGCGTGGACTTTTTTTTAGAGTATACTGTTTGCAATGGTATGTGTGTTAATCGCGAAGCAAGAAGTGTAGTAGGGTGTCTCTAGATGGACTTGAGCTTGCTCTGCTATTTTAAGGGTTGATAGGCTTTATAGGTAGAAGAGTGTTCGAAAGGAAGAGGTCTGAATATTTTAGTAGAAACCAGTATCTATCAGTTTATTGTATTTTACCAATCTGTGTTGTAGGTTTGTTTTTTTTTTTACCGATGTGGAGTTTCGAGAATTCTCTTAAATCCAAATTCACCAATCAAGATAAAGGAACGGTATATTCATGTCTCGATATTATCGCAATTTTCGAATCTTTAACATTAGGTGTTAAAACTAATCAATATATGTATGTGTGTTGTTTGGTATATGGGCAACGCTCTCACAGGCGCCATGGTGACTTATTTAATTCTCGATGACATCCATTGCATCTTTTTCATCGACTATAGCCAAGTAGCTCTGCTAACAAAATGAAACAGTTAATAAAGAATCGTCTTCGATTAAAATTTGTATAGGTAAACTTGAAACCTCCTCCGACGAGGTTGATCGTCTGGCCGTACACAGCGTGAACGTGCAATAATAACGTCGTAAATAAACACGCAACGTTAACACGAACAAAACAAGGAAACACAAGGAGCTAGTAAAAACAAAACAACGAAAGGCAGACGTACAAGTGAAACGTACAAGACGATCATCTTGTGTCAAGAATCAATTACGTGTACGTATATATAAATAACAAATAAACGGTTGCAGGCAGGGATGGCATGCTCATGCGCATTCCGGTGCACGAGTGGTCGGGCGTGACGTGGGGGTGTGGGTGGGTGGGCGTTGCCAGTGACTGAATTTTTCTCTCAATGTATATACTTTTTTTTTTTTTTTGAAATTTTATTTCTGATTTTAAATTGTATTCTTTTGTTTTCTCGAATCTTTTTGCCCAATGTTGAATTCTTATTTTTTTTTGTTTTTTTTTTTTTTGAGATATATATATATATATATTTTTTTTGAAACGTGATAGCAATCGTGGATTTAGGTGCTCCGAAACTCGTCACCTTTTCTCCTCCTTCGGGTCCGGCAGCAAGGAAAGATGGGGGAGAGAGAATGTTGTAACACAACGATTACATTCGCAAAAAACAATATCGTGGCGATAATGATAAGAAATATAACGCTAAATAACCGAACGTTACTTCTAGGCGGTGGTGATTTAGGGAGCAAATAGATATAACACGTGATTATCCCATTGGACTACTGTCTCGTGTTCCCGTTTCCACGAGGTAGGGTGAGGGAAGGGGGAAGACAATCGTCTTTAGTCTGATTGCGACCAAATCGTTCGCAGACGGAGCAATACTCGAAGAACGCGAAACGAATGAGTGACTGATGGCCAGAGTCGGGCACTAACTAATTCATCTCGATTAAAACGTTAGTCGTCGACGATTCTTATCAGTTCCTTAAGAGATACTATTTCTATTCCTTGGACAAATAAAACGCCAATTTAAAATTCTACTACCTTCTCAATATTGAAACTGTATTTTTGAATAATTAAACTGCCTACGTAGAAAAGAGATTTTCAGACATGACTAAACATAACGATTAATGCAACCAGTGACAATAAGTGATGTACTATTAATTTCGTCGTCGATCGTCGACGACTGATTAACGATTACTCGTCTTAATTGCGATCGTAGATCAAAGTTTGCCCAACCCTGCGGATGACAGTCGGAGAAAGAGGAAACGAAATGAATCGAGGATGTCAGCTGATCGGGGGTAGTAATTAAAAAAGAAGAAACAAGAATCGATGCAACGATACAAAAATATTGTCGATAAATAGAGGTGAGAGTTTAAGGGGTTGGGGAGGGGGAGGGGCGGGAGTTTTTTTAAGCACAGTAAGAGACAAGAATGTTTACCATGGGAGCAAACTTGTACAACGACGAACGTCGTATTAAAACGATCAACATTGAATATTACAATGAATATTACAATGAATAATAATTTCGTGTTTTGGGATGCAGTTGGGGGTAGAGCCGCAGTGATAGCGGCTTACCTATTGTTCATGTCCGAGTGTTCGAGTGTGAACGCGTCTTTTTACGGCTCGTCTAAAATCGATAGACTGGAAACAGTAAAAGGGTACAAGAAGTTACGGTTAAAAAGGTATTTCCTCGATCGACGATAAAAAAAAAAAAGCGTAAACCGATTGCTATTCGCAAAATGGCACGTTTTGCGTTTCTTCTTATGTCATGCTCAGTCAAGTGTGACATGCTACGTGAGAGAAAATATGTTGGGAAAAAAAAAGCGAACGGGTCGACCACGCAGAACGCACCCGTTTTTCTATGATCAGTACTTTTAGCCGTGAGTCGAGATCGCAACGTGAAGAGAAAAAGAGTCGAGACAGTGTTCTGTTTTTGTTGGGTGAAAAATTGGCTCGTAAGTCAGCATTCATGGAAATTTTTGTATAGCCTAGAATTTTTTTGGTGTCGTTTGGAGATTCGCGGGAGCATTCGTTGTAATAATTTATATATGAAATGCGGACGAAGTCGTACAAAATCGATTTGAATTGAATGCAATGTAATACAATGTAAAGTATAAAAAATTCATTTGTGTCGAATGAAATTTAATTAAATTATACAGAATCAATTTATGTAGAATTGAATTTAATAAAATTCTGCAAAATTAATTTAAATTATATGCAATCCAAGGAATATAATTAAAAACTTCCAGTAAAAAAACAGTTTCCAGTCTCTTAAGTACAAGAGAAAATTAATAAGCAAAGTACTTTCTACAGTATACTCTAAAATTTTAATTCGATCATTCATTTTCAAAAACACACAACGGTGAGAATGACTCGTCTCATCACCCAACAGATCAGAATCTTGCCTTAAATGTGAGAATAAACAGGGACGGACCGATACTGGTAGAATCCACTTTATCGTCGACAAAACGGGCGACGTCAATATTTTGCAATCGCGAAATTTTCGCGATTTCGTTCGCTGCCAGGATCGGACCGATGCACTCTTCTAAAGAAACGAAGCAAGCTATCGATCGAACCTTCGGTAAAAAGTATTTCGTTACGGTGCATCTACGTATAATAGAAATTTTTGCGCGAAATTCATGGAACACTTTAATATACGAGCAAGGAGATCGAAGCGACCTCGATGGTCCGCCCATGGAGAAATTCCTTCATGCGAGAACCAGGGATGGGGGCGAAATGGAGCTCAAAAAGCATTCCAACGACGATACAAGTCCAAATATTAGAAATTTACAATATCGTACACTTATAAAATGCACAAAATTGATAATAATATTTTGGTAGCTCGTTAATAAATACTTTCAACATTTCACAACAATTTTTCACAAATAAACTCCAATAAAACATAGATTCGAATTCGCATTGATGTTCATCCCTGGTTCGTCGAGGGTAGAACAATCGACCTCGCTTGGACGTCGAGTATCGTCTATCGATCGAGCGAGTGGCACAACGAGAGACGATAGAAAGGAAAAAAAAAAACAACTGCTAAAGTAGAGAGAAAAGTCGAGTGAACATGAGTGATCGTGAATTTCGATGAGCGTGGTGGATGGCCGAAGAAAAAAAAACATGAAACGAAAAGGAAAGAAGAACGAGCGAGTGACAGAACGAGTGTGAGAAGGGTTGAAAAAGAAGGGCAAAGTAAAAGTATGCGCAGAGCACGTTATTGCGACTGGCAGAAAGAAAAATAAAACAGAAGAAAGAAAGAATCTATGAGCGAAACAATTCAGCTATGGATACGATACGATTGCTGGTCGAGGCGAGATCGAAAGAATGAGCAACTCGACAAGCATGATAGACGGTCGATCGCGAAATGACGGGAACGCGTCTCGAATGCGCGGCGTGTTGCCTGCGAAGCGTGTATCATCGACCAAAAAGCAAGCAAAAAGGAATTTACAGGCTATGAGAGCAATAAAACTATGGCGTTTCGTTCTAGATCATTTTTACTACTTGGCGGGCTGAGATCTACGAAGGGAATTTTTGGATTCTGTAGCGAGAAGGATTCGCTAATGCTGGAATTGCTAATTCGGCAGTATATAATTAATAGCTTGACTTTCACAGAGCAGAAATTAAATTTGCAAGTCGAGGTGTATTTCTATTTTACAAACCTTTTCAGAGGTCCTGAACTTTTGAAAATATTTGTTTAAGTATATAATCAAATTATTTTTACTAGATTTCAATTTATAATAAATCACGTTTCGTTTACTTTCATCAAATATTATAATTAAATTCGACTACGGCAACTAAATTTGTACTCAAATCTGTAACGTTCATCTCTTTTAACTGAATTCGTAATTAAATTTACGACTTCCCGTCAACCTAAATTTATAATAACATTCATTCCTAGAATTCCAATCCCCTGAAAAGCTTCTCGAACACGAAACGAAACGTCCACTTAATTCGAATAATATCAATCGAGCGACGATTTGCAAATGAAATTTATGGTCTGAAAAGTCCAAACCGATAATACTCTTCCGGATTTAATCAAACGACGCATAAGCACGCTAAAAATTAATCGCTTCGCGAATATTATCGGGAAATGAATAAAATTCCGTTGCTCCCAATGGCCGATAAATTCACTTTCGTTCGCTCCTGGCGTATAAACCAGCTTACGCGGCTCGAATAAAATAAATTGAGATGTAAATTGAGAAACGATCGTTGATTGTATCGCTACCGAACCATCCGCCGTCTTGCCTCGAGTCTCTTATCTATGTACTCCCTAAGTCCGCCGAACGAAGGTATTAGGGTACTGACTGGATGTTACTAGTGTGACTCCTAGCTGTATTTGCCTGTACTGCTTGATCTCATCTACAGTCATGACAATCATCCTAAGTAGTAGATAGTAGTGGATGGTAGTGGTAGATTAGTAGGTCCTAGCAGGTAACATTGCAGAGCTGTAGTCTCGCACAGTGGGTAGTAGTAGTAGTAGTAGTAGTAGTAGTAGTAGGTAGTAGTAGTAGTAGTAGTAGTAGTAGTAGTAGTAGTAGTAGTAGAGTAGTAGTACAGTAGGTAAAGTAGTAGTAGTAGTAGTAGTGGTTGTTAATACTGGTTAACGGACAAGTCCCAGCGGCGAGTGGCGTTTTGCTCGTTCGATCGATCAACGACGAGCCAAGACGACAGTGTCGATCGGTGAACTGATCGACCGATCGACGTGCAATCGTTCGGCGTTTTGTTACTATTTTTCACTTTTTAAAGTCTTTCAGACACACACAAACACATACATGTATACCCGTCGGCGAGATTCTTTGTTTTTCGTGGTCTCGGGAGCAACCGTTGGTCTCGGGGTTACGTAGTAGTAGCAGTGGTAGCAGTAGTAGTAGGTAGTGATGGTAGTAGCAGTAATAGTAGTAGCAGTACTTGGTTTTTTTTTCTTTTTATATATTTTTTTTTTCAATGTGGCTAGCGGAGGTTAGGCTTACTGTTCCGCCTCTCTATGATAAACACGCTCTCGTAATCTCGATTATCGAGGTGGAGCGCGTGATGGTCACGATCACGGTTCGGGGGGGCCTGCTCGTGGACCGGCTCCGAGGTGGCAGTGGCGGGGGTGGTTACTTGCGTAGGAAGTGGTGGTTGATGAAGAGGTTGTGGTGGTGGTGGTGGTAGTTGCGGATTCAACGGGCTGCAACGGGTCAGCGTCGAGACTGACTCGCCGCACGCGTTTAGATTTGTCGACCTACAGAAAACACAGAGAGAGAGGAGGACAAGAGACGCCCACGTTTTTTTCTTCTTTTTTTTGTTTCTTTTTTTTTTTCGCTTTTTTTTTGTCTTTTTCTATCATCTCTAAGCAGCTTCTTCCATTATTTCGTCATTTGTCGCTTTCGTTGTCGAGCCGCCTCGTAGCATTGTTCCTCACCGTTTCTAACGCGATTGCCGTGCGAGAAACGGCGCGCAATGTGGTTCCAAACGCCCCAAAAATGATCGAAAATCCATTGCAAAAATTGTTTCTTTCTTTCAGACACTTGGAATTACATCTTTTAGATTATTCTATCTGCTTCTATTCCTTCTATTCCATAACAGTAGTATACAGTTTCTAAAACATCAACAGGGTGGTAAAATAGGGAAAGGAGTATCCGGTCGACAAGATAGTGCAGCCTGTTGGTAAGCGAGTTTCTCTATCGAGATCTTACCAACAAAGTGTTCGACGTTACCAAGCTTTACCAACGGAGAGCATCACGTTATCGACAGAGTACTATGCCAACCTTCCTACTATTTTACTCCCTCGCCAAAAATCCAAATACTCAGCTCAAATTACTGCCTACTAAATCTCCATTATTCTATTCATAAACCGTACAAAATCAAACCTGCGAATGAAAAGAGCCCACATGAAAAAAAAATTCAAACACACCTGCAAGACGCATCTGCGACTTTCGTCAACTTTTCGGGCATTTGGCACCACTGTGCGTCGGGATAGAGAGCCAGTAGGAGAGAAAGAAGACGAAAAGGAGGCCCTTTTTTTATTTGTTCCACTTGTTTATTCTTCTTTCGAGCTTTTCATTTTTGAGATTTCTGCAAATACAGCTCTCCTTGACATCTTTCTCTCCGAGGCATCTCGATTGCCCAGTTTAGAATTTCTCTAGCTCGCGTTTTGGCTCTCTTCTGATCCTTGCTCTGACCGCGATCCTCGAACGTTGATCGTCGAGGCTCGATCAGGAACTTGTTCGTAGTCTGCACGATTCCCTGCTGTGCAGGTCTGTTCCCAGATCGGCTGTGTTGTGATTCGAGAATGAGAGGAACTTTTCGCCAGGGAAACGTGCGCCGCGACTACGAATAAGGGCCTGCGAGTGAAAAGAATCTTGGCAGTGGCTGAACCGTCCAGCCCGTTCTGGATATATACGTGTAGGTATAAACGTGCATTATCGGCTCGTTTCGTGAAAACGCTCGGGATATAAGCGCGGAAGACACGCATACATGTTTGCGCGAGGATCCAGCACCAGTAACGTGTCAAACATTTTTTTTTTTAATCAATTTTGTTTGTCAGTCAAAATAGTCGATCAACATTTCTATTCGTTCAGGATGGAATGGAGTTTTATTCATTAAATCGATTATCGATAATATTCTTGATTTATTTTATCGTTTGTCACTTGTTTGGTTCGAGTTTTTCACATTACTGGCGTACACCGAAAAAACAGGATTCATCTTGGGGCGGGGATGGGTTGTTTTGGGACACGGGCCGATTCCAGTATTCAACCCTTTGCACTCTGGATCTTTTTACAAAGAAAAGGAAAGAAATGGTATTCCGTTGCTGAATTAGTTTGGTTATTTAGTTCAGAAATATGTAGATTAAAAAAGGAAACTAACCAAGACACTGTACAAAGGCTTGAATAGCAAGGATTTGATTAAAAACTGTAGGAACTTGTAAAAGATAATTTGACTGGGATAATAGTTGACAAATAAAAATAATTGTGTGTATAACATTAACCTCTTCAATTAGCTATGACTCCACTTTTAATTTGAAAGTTGTTCACATTTTATTTGTTACTCAAAATTGTTGTCTCGATGAGGATTTTGACCATCTCTTGTGTATACCGAAAAAACTGGGCTTATCTCGAGGGTGGTGATAAGTTGTTGGGGAACAGGGACCAATTTCAACGAATAGAAAACGTCCTGCAATCGCTAGAGACGTTTCCGTTCTTATTTCTATGGACAAATAAAATTTGTATCGATCGAGCACCGCCATGGGGAACACGAAAACCCTGCGACTATCCTGATAACGGATTCTCGACGAATTGAAGAAACGAAAGGGTGAAATTTAATTATAAAATCTATACATATTCGTATAAAATTAACGAATTACTTAGCAGGTATATTGTTTGCATTCTTGGTTCTAATATTTAGTTTTTAAATGCCGAAAATTCACGAAATGAAAGAACGAGTTTGATTGCATTTTTATTTCAAAGTAATTTAAAATGGTCGTGCAAGTAATGTGAGGTGATGATGCTAAATGTTACGCTCTTCACGATAGACAAAAAAATCGCTTCGAAAATTTGAGTTAAAGAGTTTCCTTGTGTCTCAGGTGAAAAAAATCGTAAAATACTAATTTCTGTATTACTAATGTTACTATATTATTCATAACTCGTTTATTATTATAGACAAGTGGACGGAAAAATTCATGCAAAGTCTTCATAAGCATGCCAATGAGCACAGAAAGTTTTAATTTTATACATCATGTACTTTTCGTTAAAAAAATGTTTCAAGTTCTGGTCGTTTTTGGGCAAGAGACACGGGGAAATCTTCTTAAATTCAATTAATCATTGGACGATTTGTTCACGGAGCGGAACCACTCGAACCGCTAGCAAATGTATGCATCCCGTAGGCCGCTGGTTTAATATCGTCCGCGCAAATATGAAACGAGCATTAATTACGTTAATACAAACAATTTATGGCCGCGGGCAGTTGGTGCGCGCGTACGATGGAAATTCGCGTGGCATCGAAATTATATCACGATTAACAGAGTATCGGGAGTCCTTCCAGTTCTATTCGAAACCAAATCGATAGTGGCAGTGATCCTTAACAAACGTGCTCTGAATACTTCCCAACAAACACGATGAATTTTTATTTTCCACACTTTTAACACGGTTATATACAATATCTCAACGGAAGGAGCATCAATTTAATCCTCCATTCCATGAATATTACTTTCATGGCCGAATCTTATTTGCAATTCAAGTTAAATATATTCAGATAGATTGATCTTTCCCGATTAAAAAGAAAAGATGAAAGAGCTCGCGAGTTTAATACTTCTGGAGGAAAAAATTGTTTCGTGAAGGCAGTTTCTATAGACATCAGTGGAAAGTGTCAACATTGAGGGTCTCTGATTTTTAAATAATATTAAAAATTTCCACATAAACTGTAACAATGCTCAATCAAGGTACTCGAAGTCGGTAAAACAAAGAAAAAACTGATGCTCGTTTTAATAACATAATCTCTTCTATCAATCAAAAAATCAAACGCAAACTCCTGGCCCCACTCAAGGGTTCAGAATCACAGTAGGAAGGATTGAACGCGACTTTCGGATAGGAGGAACATCCTCGCGATAAGCCCCGTTGATGGTGGGATGATTCGTGTCGGCGATCCGCGAGAAATGTTCGATAAAACAACGCATAAACGATTGGGGGCCGGGGTGAGGGCGGCGGGGGCGGCGGCGGGGGGAGGTGGAGGGGAGCGTCGATGAAAATGAAGGACGGTGATCGAATTACGCGGGAAAATTTCTTTCCCACTTGGGGGGTTGGTGAACGAACGAAAAGAAAAGAAGGAGATGGACGTCGGTGGTGGGCGCAGAAAACAAAGGGTAGCGAAAAACGGGCGTCGAACGACAAACGAAATGGCTCGTCGCGGAAAACAAAGGCGACATACGATCCAGAATAGGCATCACTGCAGTCGTATTGTGGACTTTTGGATGCCGCGATGGAAAATCATAATAGTCGGCTGAGTACACCCGCTACTACACGTGCAGTCCGCTTGGCGTGATTTCAAAAGCTGGAACACCTCGGTATTATCGAGGGCCCATATTTTGTTCGCTTTTTTTTTTTTCATTTATTCGTTTATTTATCTCATTTTTGTTTTATTATACGTATACGTACGGTTCTTTGGGAAATGCGATGACGTCGTCGAGCAGTGCTCTCTCTCTCGCGACCGTGTTTTTTTATTCGCTCTGTTCCAGAGACTAGCGTTTACTTCTCGTTTCGACCGTTTTATCGGTTCGTTTAGCAACTCTGTTCTCTCTGTTTTTTTCTCTTATCTGCTCGCGTCAACGGACGCTGCACGCCAACGCGACGGAAGACGAGCCGCGAGGATTCGAGCGGAGCGCGCTCGGTCTGGTCCCGAAAGATCGACTTCCAAAATAAAAATTGTTTAAGGGTCAATTTTGAATGATCATGATACAATTATTGTGATGCTTACAGAAGTATGGCTTACAGAGTTTCCGTTGCGCGTAGAATACCGGCTCCCATGAAATGAAATTATTCCGCAACAAGGATGAGAATACCAACACTGACCGCGGGTCGAATAGCTTGGCGAACCCAGCTATTCCACTTGATCCTCTAGCAGAACTATTCAGCAGAGATGGGCAACATTTTATTTGGCAATTAATCGACTAATTGAAACACCGCAGAGTAAATTATATGGAAAGTTTATTTGATTGAATGTAATTTTATTTTTCTAATCATATAGTTGAGTGTTTAGACTAGAGCATTACGTTTACAAACTCCGTTTAAAGTTCAGTTTATGTAAAAAGGACATCCTAGTAGCAAAGATAGAAAACACTGTAAGTAACACAGGGCATTCTGTCGACAACGTAGAACACTCATTCGATAAACAATTTACCAATAGAGTGTCCTGCATTGTCATCAGAGCGATCTGCCTTATCCCCTGAGAGTTTTACGTTACCAAGGTGTTATCAACATGATACGATGGTACTCTCTCTTACTGAACGAGTTACGATAAACATCCATTTATACATGTATATATCTGTCAAGAGAACATTTCAAACAGGAAAGTTGTACTGTTCGAGAACACGAATGTACCGAGACAAATGGATCGTTTCGACAAATTTTGCCCATTTCTGTTATGGAGGTTCGCGGACCAGGCCGAGCGCTAGTGAATCGCTCGATCGTTCGCTGGTGCCTGAAGGACTCGCATCGCGCGTGGGTGGATCGTTTTCTTACCACGATCATCGAAACGACTCGTTTCTCCAACCTCGTCCAAAATACCTCTGCTGCTGCGGTTTAGTCTGCCGTTTTGCGTTCGCTGAACGCTGCGCAAAACCAATTCTCTACGTGTTTGCTCGCGTTCTGTCATGTATGGCGCAAGATCAAAAGAGATTTTTCTCGTGTTTCTCGTTTTCTGTTATCTCGTACGCGTTCCCTCGCTTCTTTTGTCCATTTATTCTAGTATCTTTTTTTTCGCACGATCAAAGTGGAAGTGAGAACGCTGTTCCGTGAAAAAAAGAGGAGACGACGGGAGAGAGAGGAATCCTCGATACTCGAGGATCTTCTCCGTCTGTCCCTCAAAGTTACTCGAAGACAGATGTCGCGAAAGGGTATCGTTCGTTCCATAAACCTATACTTACACTTTCGTGGAGTTTGTTCACGTTGGATGTTTCTAGGTTTCTCCCTGATCGAGCGACTCGAGAAGCTTTCGGTACGTCAGCGACATAGGTAGGGATTCTAGGCTTCAGGTGATTCCTGGCAAGCTTCCCCTATAGCCGATGTTTATTAACACACCTATGATATTTATATATATTTTCATTTAATGATCAGAAAATGTTTGTTCTCACGCCATTGGACTGGAGACGCTCGATCGACCGGTTATGGAATGAACGATACCCACGATTATTATGATTATCATCGTACACGTTGACAATAGAAATGTATATGCATAAACTGGTATAAATAGCTCGAATATTTAGTCAGCTATCGATTACTCGTGAGAGGTTTCGTAAATGCTTGCGGTGCTTCGGTCGCCTAATGCTCGTAAGAGGGGGTGGAGTGGACTTAATTGCTAGCTCTGGCTAAACCTAAGTGATGTACTTGAATTTTGTCGAAGTCGCACCTACTCCCCTGACACCTATCCTTTAATCTAGGAAATGAAAATGGTCAGCTGTGCATCAAACTATCTCATTGACTCTATCCACACTGTCACAGAGTTATTGTTATAGTAAAGATAGTTTCATTAGCATCATTGGTAATCGAGAAGAACCACCCAAAACTTTAACAAGGAGGCTAAACATTAATATTCTTTTAAGAGAGAAATACTTCATTTTCTTTTTTTTTTTTTTGAAGAAATGAGAGTTTCTTGTATCTCTGGTGGGCGCAGGTGCGACCTCCCCGGTCTACGTCCTCGATTAATCATTAATCTTTGAGAGATCTCCGTTTAGGTAGATCGAAAGAAATTAGACGATTCGGAACCTGTATCGGGGATTACGAGGGATCCGATGATTGACACTCACTTTTTCAAAGGCACTGTTCCCTGGGGCCCCTGCCCTGCGCCGTTCCTGGCGTCGGTGACCCGGCAGGCCACCATACTATACGCTGAAAGCAGTTCTACAATGTTACAAAATTATGTTAAATTGATATTTGGTCACGTTCACTGGTGCTCGCTCGGCACCTGCGTTATCGAGTCGTCGTCCCCTTCCTCAACTTCTTTTCCTAGAGAAGACAATCGAACACTTTCTTGCAAGATACTAAATAATAAAACTGTATTTGATTCGAAGAAGAAATAAGAAAAAAGACGCCTTAAAGTCACAGGAACATACAACAAAAATTTCTCTAATTAAAATCCTCCAGAAATTCAAATGAAAGTTGCTAAATAGTCATTAATATCGGAAGGTGTTTGAAAGAAAGTGAGGGAGGGGGTCGACAAGCCCGAGAGCCCAGATGCAGACTCGAAGAAAGAAGCGACGAGGCGTCTCGATGTCCCCCGGTCAGCTCCTACCTTTCTCCTGTTTTCGTCTCTTCCGCTTATTGCAAATCTTCACCGCGCATATGCTGAGGATGATCGCGACAATGAAGAAGAGTATACCACCGACGACGCCCGCGGTGATCGCCTTGTGCTTGACGCGAGCCGGCACCGGGAATTTCACCAGCTCGCTGGCGCCGTAGTTCGTCACCGAGTTGGCGAACACTTGGAAATAGTAGGTCCTACCACCGACCAGATTCTTTACTGTTCTCGCCAGGACGCGTCATGGAACAGATAAACGTGGAACGTTCGCCATCATTCTCGTAACCAGACGTCACAGGAAACTCAAATTACTCTCGAAGGAAGTGAATAGTTTAAAATTGGGGAAAATGAATATTTAGTTAACGCGACATTTGAATTTTATAGTGGAAAAGTTAAGCGATGGTTATTAGGTTAGTGATTCTAAAGAGTTTAAAGAAAAATTAGTGAACTATAAATGGACACTGAATATATACAAAGGGGTTACCTACCCAAATAGCTGGTTTCGTCGGGTCGGATGTGTCCCTTGTTGAGCGTTTTCCAGGGTCCGTCCGTTTTATACTTGATGGTGTAGTACTTGATGAGGTGCTCGAACTTGAGAGGAGCTTGCCAGGTTATCAGGAAACCGTTACTGACCTCCGTCACAGTGAGGTTCCTTGGCGGACCTGGCTTCGGTCCTGACGGTTTAAATCGCATTAGCATTGTCAACAGGACTAATGTCGATTAAAATGGACAGTTCAGGTAAGAAACACACGCAAAGTAGAATATATTATTATTTCGTTGAAGCTGAAGAAGGAAAGGCTTGGAATAAATTAGCAACTTCTTCGACTGTGAAACGGAACCTTCATTAACTAATAAATAAATCATCTTTATGAATGATAAACAGATCTTACTTAACTTTATCAACAAAAAAGTCTCCTTTTCACAGATTATAAACAAGCTTCTGTTCTCACGATCAATGAAATATCTAATTTCCTCCAAGTCTTTATTTTTCAAATAACGCATCCAAAAGTTGTTTACTTCTCATTCGTTACTTGAAATCTTGATCTAGAGAAGAGTTTTACTTGTTTTTGTTCCGCGGTTAGGGGGCGAAACATCGCCGCTTGGAATTGGGATTGCGGGCGTTAATAAGCCTAACGAATGTATGCCGGAAGTAATTAGGTCGTAACATTATATATGCCAGCGGTGACGAAAGAAGCTGACATCATGCATCTCCGATTCCATCAAGACGTTGCATCAATATTATTCCACGGTCGACTGTCATCGCGCATCGCGATTTATTTCCCGTCGTTTCGTTTAACGAGGCAGGCAAATTGCTTCGTGGCGAGATCATCTTTGGGAATTTATTCCAAGGAAACGAGAGCAAGGCGCGACTTTTCACTTTATTTCGATGCTCACAGGAATGTCAAAGATTTTATTTTATAAAAATTAATATATTCGCCAATTCGTTATATTTGCAAGTGGAGAAATCACAAGAGAGGCCAGAGAAATGAAAGCAATTATTTTTTGCAAGAATACAACTTTCCATACATTTTTTTACATGTATTGTTTCAACGCGATTACAAAAAGTTTGCGCGAAAGGAAAACGTCAAGAATTTTTCGCATTGGCCCTACGGATTAATTGAAAACGGTCAACAAAAAAGGTAGCATGGAGGCAGAGAACGGATGAAACGTTGCAACCGTTGGCCGTTGTTCTCCGTCACGATGAAATTCCCCGGGCATTATTCGCGATTATCTGCGAACGTTAAACAATACCCCCGGTCACAATGCGATAAATTGTAACGATGGAAAAACACACCTCGTCGCGCTGATCGATATTTCTGCGATCGTTTCTGCGGTATTTACAATGTCCGTATTTGTCAACCTCATTTCCGCCAACCTGCATGCTGCGCCGAATAAATTGTCGACCGCGCAACCAACCAGAGACGCGTGCATTAGACCAGCGCTTCTCCATCCTTTTTCGCATCGCGATAGTAACACAGCGAAACGAGGGGGGCGGACGTGCCACATTCGGGCAGAATTGAATACTTTTTTTTTGTTGATAGTTCTTATCATGAAAGCATGTATCAGTAAAAATCGAAACTGGCGCGTCTTGTAGTCGCCATTTTGTTAATATTGTCACAATTTCTTTATAAACACTTCCAACCAAAAATTTTCTCCACGTTCGATGTACGCAGAAAAATTCTGTAAAACGAGAAGTCAGGACTCGCGTTCATTTCGCCGGAATTAATTCCCAAAGAAGGCTTTACTTCCGAGCAATATGGCTGCCCACCGCGCCACGATACACCTGTTTGGAGGCACTGCATTAGGGGATGCGAGAACAGGGGAATAATTCACGCTTCTGGGCGTCCCTTTCAACGCATCGAGCATAAAAATATAAATGGCTTCTCGATGGTGGCTGTGCACCACCTGGGAATAACGCGGTTATTGTATTCGCCGGAAAGCTTTTTACCAACGCGACCGGCCGCGAGTGGCTGCAATTAATTCGACTCCATTTTTGTCCGAGCGTTCCCGTTTCGATTAGTCTCCGACGGGAAACGGAAACCCGCGTCGGGATAATTTCGGACGAGTCCAAAATATACATAATTATTCGCCCCGTGTCCAGGAATATTTAATCGCGGACCGGTGGAAACGTCGATCCCCTCGCTGCGCCATTTTTGTTCCACGAATCTATTGCGAAGGCAGAGCTTTGGTTTGTTGAAATGAAAAATTGGGCTTTCAACGTTTACTTGTATTCTTTTTGAAATATTCCTGTACAATTTAATCGTACATTTAATGCTTAATTTTCGAGTCTCGAGGAAGCTTAAAAGATCGAAAGGAGGAGGAAAAACGACGATAAGGACCTTTTCTCTTCCGCTTTACCGTCCAATATTGCAATGTTTGAGCGAGGAAGGATCTGAAGGGAAGAACCGCGCGACATACGCGAGCAGTAGGGGTTTTTGGAGGGTTGGGGCGAATCGTCCGGAGTCCGTTCGTGAAGGCTAAATTAAGTCTTCCATTAAACGCGTAACGGGTAGATCTGAAAGAACCAAAATGTAATAAAACGGGTATTACATAACGCAAGCTCGCGAAAAGTACGGAAGAGTGAGAGAAGAGAAAGTGGAAGGGCAAGTGGTGAAATAGCGAAGAAACAAAAAAAAAAAGAAAAGTCGATACCTTTCGGGCGGATGATTGGCGGGAACACTGTGTTTCCAATGGAATCGGTCGGTAATATGAGAGTATTATAATCTAAGATGTCTGAAACGAGAGAAAACAAAATGGCAAACGTGAGAAATCAGGGATCGAGATGGCGGTGGTGGCAGGGCCGTGTTTAGGAACTTTGGCGTTGGGGCAACGATGGAATTATTTTGCATAATCACTGCACAGATGTGTAGATACTTGTTAGATACAGAAGATACCATATATATCTTCTATACTACTTCTTTCCTCTCCCTCCTTCTCTTAATAAATATCACCCACATTACTCACTCTACCAACACAAAAGAAATATTATTCAACCTACAAAATGATGCCAAATATCCCTTAATAATGTCAGAAGAACCCCTTGTACCCTTCTCCGTTCTCTTGCAATAAATTCCCAAAGAGGGAATTCCCACCGCGTTAAGGCGTCCGTCTGCGCCTCAATATGGCGGTCAGGAGCACGTGTCCCTGCAGCCTCCGCCTCGCCACGGCCCTGGATGGACGGATGATGGAACGGGGGGGTTGGTCGTGTCGTAATAACTGGTCGCAGAGAGCCGGACGGGACCCAGGAGGAGATCCTCACGAATCCGATCCACCGGAATTCTCGTTAAGCTGGATGTAATCGCGTTACTCGAGGCAGGCTAACGAGTTTCGAGACCGCTGATGCGTGGACAGCGGCGACGGATACGAACGGAAAAAGGCAGAGATTGAAGCGCGCGGAAGAAAGGTCGCTGGAATATGTGTACCTAGGTTTGCGCGCAGGGCGAGATTATCCGGTATGTAGGGGTGCGTCCGCGGATTATTAGTTGGGATCCCTATTAATATGGAAATGTTTGGGGGAAAAAAACGAGTGGGGTTGGCCATCATCAAGGCTAAATCTGTGCGGCCAAGCAACTCAATCAGACTGTTGAAAAAATCACCCTCCTCCTTCACCTTTTAAGGAAGAAACTTTAGAGCAGAGGCTCGCGATACATTTCACCCCAAATGTTCCCTGCGTCCTCTTAAACACCGTTCAATCGAATAAGCATCCCTCTACAAATTCCCATACGTCGTTCTCTCGTTTCGTTACCTATTCCGCTACAATATCGGCCATCTACGATCCACGCCTACCCATGCAGCCTGGACTCTCTCCTCGGAGACGAGAACCGGATAAAAATCTGTACAGGCGTGTAGGGAGGAATCGTGGCGGGGCGTGTGTACAAATGGAAGGCAATGAACCGACGGATTCGAGGGGAAGGAAATAAAAGCGGAAACAGAATGAACGGCTCGATGGGTTTTCCGATACGATAAGTCGCGACGGAAGTCTTCGTTCCTCTTCTCTTCTCGCGCTGCGCGCCTCTTCCTCTTCGCCGTTCTACTTTTTTTCGTAGAATCCTCTCTGCGTTCTACGTATCTCAACCCTCCCTCTCTTACTCCTTATTCGAAGGGGGTAGTTTGAACGTAACTTTGAATTTCTCGCGCGGAATCGGTATTTTCAGGAGAGTTTCATCGAGCTTCGCGAGAGAAGAGAGGCGAGGCGAGGCGAGGCGTCTTTACGAAATCGTTCAACCGAAATTCTTTGTCAGCGAAGCGAGCCCAGCTTTTAGGGAAGAGCCATCGGTCCCCGACGGTTTTTATGGTCGATCGCGCTCGAATACCGGATCGTCCCTTTGATTCCTGCTGCGGCTTTCATTTCCCCATACCTCCCCTTCTCCCCGACAACTGGTTGTTTCGACGCTTCCATGATCGCCTCTTTCTCCCTTTCGCGAACGAGGGGTTGCTCGACTAATTATCAGGCGAACGAGAAACTTCGGGCGTTTTTCCAGAATTATAAAGTTTCGATACAGCTCGACAGGTCTGATAAATGATACAGTATCGGGGACGTTTAATGGCAGAGTGAGTTCAATTTTTGTGGATATCGAATACTCGTGTGCATGGATGCAGTAAGGGGTTCCATTAACTACCAGACATTCTCATGAAAATACTTATAAAGCTACAACTTTCTTCTTATACAATTTAATGCAAACTAGTTTATCAAACAATTTCTCCTACACGAACGCCAGAAATTTCCTGATCACCTGACGCAATAATTTTCTACGTAGATCCCGATCGATGATCTTACCGCTTTGATCCGTGGCTGCAGCTTGACCGGCGCTCGAGGATGGCGTCGCTGAGTGTGTCAGTGTCACGTCTTCGAGGCCGAAGCGATAGAAAAAAGAAGGAAAGAGTTTTGCACAGAGGGCAATTCAGTTAGTCGGTTAATACGGACGTGGACTATTAGTGGTGATATTAGTGAGACAGGTGATTGTCGAAAAGGACTTTGAAATACTCTCTATATGGAATTCTCACAGAAAAGGATCAATTATCACGTCTATCATGTACGAATGAATTCTCGTCAACTATGGCTCGATTTGTTGTCATTAACAGATAATCTTGGATGGTCACCGATCCAGAGTTGATAAAAAGGATGATTGGACTCGTGGTATAATTTGTACGCTTATTCCAGTGATAAAAAAAAAATTAAGAAAGTAAAGAAGTGGTCGTTACCGAGCGTCCTGATGGTGATGCTTTTGCTCAGCATCCCATCGCCCAAGGCGTTCTTCCCGATTACTTGGAACTCGTACAGCGTACCTGGTGTCAGGTTGTTGATCGTCACCGTTGTGCTACCCGAAGGAGTCACGGGAATCGTCGCCCATTCCGAGGTGCCCGCTTCTCTGTGCCTGCGTAGGACCAGACCAATTTCTTTCAATTTTAACCAAGTACATCTTTATTCAGGATGGGCTACTCTTCTTCTTAATTGTTTTAATCTCTATTCGAAAGCTAGAAGTTTATTACTATTTTACTTCAGACTGTTAATTTTACTCGTCTCTCATATAATTAAATGTAGTTTCTAATTCGATACTTTGTTTTTAGGGCTCCCCAAATTTCATGCAAGAGTATCCATACAAATTCTGTTTCCTACCTTCTTGCTTATAGAGCAATATATTTGATTAATAATTCTATAATAATTCAATAATTCTATAACCTTCGTTTACCTCATCCATCCCATCAGCTCAGGTACAAACCTCCCTTATTAACATTAGAATTTTCTCTTGAAGCTTACCAAATGGTGTAGTCTTGCTTGTAGTCAGGCCCGCCGGAGTACCCTGGCAGCCAGGACAACGTGACCGAGAACTCTGTCGCGGTCCCAGTGACGTTGTAGGGGGCGTGTGGTTGCGTACCCTCGACTATCAGCTGGGTGGAGGCTGATATGGTCGCCACCTCATTGGACGCGATGCACTGGTAGAAGCCGAAGTCCGATCGTCGAAGGCTCTCGATCGTTAAATTGCCACCGACGATCTTCGCCCGATTGCGCTGTATGGACATGCCGTTCCTCTGCGCAATTGAAATCACGATACAAACGCGAGTCGAGGCCCTAAACGGACAACGAACCGTGCACGCGAGTCGCGACATTCGTGGCTTCCACTCGAGACGCTTTCCACGTGTCTCGAATGAATAAAAAATAAAGTTGCTTTGTCTAATTGGCATCGTTCAGAGAATTGATCGGGCTCATTGGCATCAGAATTTTTTTAGTAAAAGGTAATGTGTCGTGAGTGTTGAATAACATCGAAATTAAGAAAAGTATCGAGTTATAGAGTTAGTTTTATTTTATTAGTTATAATATTAGTAACATGTACTTATTTTAATGTCTACAGTTCACGTAGGTGTGTGATTAATAAATTAATCGATGTTTGAATTGTGTTCGGTTGTAGATATCGAGTCGATATAACCTGAGGCGTAAATGGCATTGAATATTCAAGTGCTGCAGTGAATATTTCCAGTAGAGTGATAATAATATCTGGATCATTTGATGGACTACTAGTAAATGAAGCTGCTCTCAAAATATCTGAAGCTGTCGATGCCAATGCTGTATAATTCATTCGAACGATGGAAATTTCTGAGTTCATTCCATTTCCTTCATTCTTTATGAAATGGCGCATAATACGATCCACGTTGAAGCTATTCTGAGCCAGAGGTGAGTAAAACTTTAATCGAATGATAGATGATAAAGTTAGAATGAATTATTTACCAATTTATTTGTAACATTTGTTCAAGACAGCCATTCATTTTTGATACGTCGCTCGAAATGTTCGTCCAGATAAGAATACATTTCAAAGACAGTAAACAGGTATAATAGGTTTGATAAAAATATATTTTTTCCTTTCGACTGTGTACATTTAATTTGTTCAAGTATATTTTTTCCCCATACGATACAATTAAAAGTTTCCTAATTAGGACACAGGAAAGAAATTCTATTTGATTTGCCCATCTCTGCTCTCGACTAAGTAAGACATTCGCTACATTTTCGACTAAAAGACTCGGGTACCAAAGTGTCAACGTATGCAAAGCTTCAGTTACACCCCGAATACCAAATCGCCAGGATCCGTTGACAAGTAGGTTACTACTTTGGAAACGAAGTTAGCGTACCCTGTGCCATTGCAGGGTGGGTTTTTGCGTGCCCTCGGCCTCTTGAGCGTCGCAGTGCATCTCGACGGTTTCTCCGACCTTCTTCTGATAAACTGGATCCGGCTCGAGGGTGAACACAGGTGGGTTTCGCACGAGGACCTCCATGGGACCCGAGCTGCCCTGCGTGCCCTGGGCGTTGTAGGGCGTGCACGTGTATCTGCCTTGGTGATTCTCGTTCACCCGTGTAAACAGCAGGGAGCCATTGTTCATGACGACGATATCCTTCGTCTGATAAGGCTCGAGCAGCCGCTTGTCCTTCGTCCAGGTCACGTACTGAAGGGGTGGGTTGGCCTTTATGTAACACTGGACCACCCCTGCCAAACGGAAGGGCAGGTATTGAACAGTTGGGGTGAAAGTCACCTTTGCTGGATCTGAAAATATCGATATCCCTGTGAATATTATTGTTTCTTTGAGGAAATATAATTAGTTGGGGTGGTTGAGAGGTGTTTGAATGGACACTGAAAGGGACATAGGAAACATACACGGAATTGTATTTAATTTCAGAGGTTTTATAACAACTCTGGTTAGCACGAGATTATATAAAAAATGTTGGAACTTACATTCCACGTTGAGATAAGCACTGGCGCTTTGCGGGTCTCCGATACCATTCGTCACTTCGCAGAGGTACTGGCCAGAGTCATCGGCGCTGACGGGATTGATGACGAGGCTGCCGTCCGCCTTGATGGACACCCTTGTGTCCAGAGCGGAGACCTCCGTGACTGGTGCGCCTTCGCGGAACCAACGCACGGTCACATTGCCTGGGAGAGCCTTCGCCTCGCAAGAGAATTGCACCTTTTCACCCTCCAGTTTCGTTTGGTTCGTGGGTGCCGCTGTGATCACTGCTCCGCCTGTTGATGGAGAACAATTTAGTCTACAACAAATCTTCATAGTCCCTCGACATCTAGTACCTACTACCCAGTTTGAAATCTAATCCAGAACTGACTCGGCGATAAAAAGGTGATGAAATATGACTAGAGGGTGGTGCAGTCATCGACCAGCGGTCCAGCGTCTATCGGCGACGCCTGTCGACGTCAGTTTAGCCGGTGACGCCGGATATACACTGGCCAACCAATATCCTGACCGAAACGATGGGGCCCCACTACGCCAAAAGCTTTTAACTTTAGCTGCAGCGCGGAAGCGCGACGCGAAACGAGATTTCATCGTTCCGGAGAGTGAAAATCGGCTCGCGAGACGCCGCCGACGTCGATAAATAAACAAACGGGGACCGAGATAGATATTCCCCATTTAACGAGGAATGAATAGACGTCGCCGGATCAATGTTGGGGAACGTTTGGTATTTCATCGCTTCGAGCACAGAGCGATCGATTACGGTTCAACATTTTTTTACGGCCGTCTAAGGAACGTTTCACTATTTCTCTTTACAGTATCGTTAAAGGCGGAAGCCTTTGTTGGCCTTTGAAGAATAATTTTTGTTAGATTGCAACGTTACCCGTAGTTTGGCACGAATTTTTCAAATGCAAAGTCTTCGTTTCGTTGAATTTTTGCGAGCAGAGCGTAGGAAAAATTGGAATCGGCTCGCAAGAGTTCGATAAAAAGGAAAGAACAGCGACGAGGAAGGAGGTGAAGGAAGAAGCGTATTTGCAGCAGGACGCCTCTGCACTCGAGGAACCGCCTTTTACTCGGACGACTCCTCGCTCCGAGACCTCGTAAAAAGGATCAACAAGGTGCATTATATTCTCGTCGATATCCAAGAGGTCTCCCTAGGCCGTGCTTGAAGAATTTTAAAACTTGCGGCTTTCGAGAACAAGTTCCTCGTCGCGGAGGCGAGGATCTTGACGTATAATGGGAGGAAATCGATCACGCTCGACAAAAGACCGAACTTCTTCTAGGGATTCAACAGTATTTTCTGCAATCCGATCTATCGTCGCTCGTCGGGAATTAGGCTGGCTCGCCAGGTGTCCTCGGGAATCTTCCACCTTCCATCGAACCTTCCAAATAGCCCCTCCTTACCCTCGAATACAATTACACAATAAAAACACTGCACAAGTACTATTCAAAACTTACAATTGACATGTTTAAATCAGAACAACAAAGGTGTAGAAATCTCATCAGAGCTTGTTCCATTCTCACAAAGTTAATACTGGAATTCCTCTAAGGAATATTTGATTAATTTACGCCGATGGGAAGATATATATATATGTACCAAAAACGGAGAATATGATGTAACTTTCGAAGCGGAGCCAAAATTATCCGTACTTTGATTTCATTTCCTGCTGCTTCGTCGCTCGCCTCGCTTCGCCTCGCTTCGCGAACAATGGCGGCACGCGGTTGAATGCGCGCGAACGTTCCCAGGAATTGGAAACCGCAACCGCGGGCGTACCGTGGATTCCGCGACGCTGAAAACGTGAAGTTAACTTCACGGACAAAGCAAAGGATCCTCCGTTGAAGGGCCAATGAGATTCAACGGAATCCAGGCTGCGGGCTGGCCGCGTTCGCGCGTGCCGTTCGCGATCCGAGCATCGTGGACGCGGATGAATTTAAACGCGGCCTGCTCGGTAAATATTCACAAGCTGAATTAAAAAGTTTTGCATTCGTCGTCCAGCTGTCCCTCGCACCAATGAATTCGAAATCGATGCGGAAATTTTGTAGCTTTGTTTGCGTCGACGTTGTTGGGAAATTGGTCCAGACGATGTAGAGTTCGTTTCTTTAGATTTGACGGTTCTTTGGTACAGGAAACTATGATCTAAGGAAAACATAAGCTCGATTCAGCAGAGACAGAAAATTAACTGCAGCGAGGAATCGAATCTATCTCGTTCCTACAATAAAATAATTCTCATCGCGGTCCTATTTGCAACGTAGGAAATTCCAGCATTTTGCATAAAACTGCGAGTTTAACGATCGTTTTCGTCAATCTCCCAACGAGGAAGAGGCCTCCCAACGCGGTAGCACGCTCCAACGGATGGAAACGACGACTCCGACGGGGATGAATTTCGGAGTGGAAGCTTGGTAAATATTCAAAGAGCAGATTCAAAAGTTTCACGCCGTCGAGAGGAGCAAGTTCGGGCCCGGGCTTCGTCGGTTCGAGGATCCACCGCATTAGTGGCGCGGAGTCTGTTGGCGCTGTTTTATACAGCGGAGGATGAGAAGAGCTCGTCTACTTTGCACCCAGGGCTCGTTGGAGTCTCAGCCAGGGACGCCAGTGGGGTTTATTAGTCCGAAACTTTCGCCAGACTTTTAGCCGCTCGTATAAATCTAGCGTTCGCGAAAGCTCGAATGGGCTTCTAAAGACACATTCTACTCGCGTCCGATCATCGTGATTATCAGAGGAACATCTCAAGTCAAGGATAAAGAGTGTTTCAGATTTTGTTTTTTTGAATCGAGAAAGTGAACTCCCATTCTGCTGGGAACTTTTAAAATAAACCAAGGGAATGCAATACGCATAGGTGCGTGTTGTAATTGAGATTGCGCGGTGCTAGTTACTATAGTCATTGTCGTAAGAATTGGTTTACACAACACACACTTTATACATTACGATTAGAATGCTTGATTTCCCAGCTAATTTCAAACGATAAACGGCGCATATTCAGAAGTGATCTCCGTTTAAACCCCTTTCGTCTCAATTAATACCTTCTCTCATACACAATATATTATTTTTTAGATTTAAGAGATCTCAAAAATTCAGTCCTAATTACGAGTCTGCAAAGAGAGTATTCCTGTCTTCCTCGCGAAAAGATTGAAGAATGTCTAAAGGAGTTCTTAATACTGGGAAAACAAGGACAACGAGGGTAAGACAACGATGATGAAGACGAATGCTTTCGAAATCTCGTAACGAAGCTTACAAATCCGAGGTGCTCGTGGAAAACAAGCAGGGAGGCTGGTAAGGAGAAAAACAGGCTGTGTGCACGGGGAACGAGACAAATCGCCTTTTAACTCGTCCCATTTGCCAACGAACAACCTAATTGGCTCCTGTCCACGTTGCTCGGGACACTTAACGCTCCAACCGTTTTGCGTAGCACGAATTTTATCGCTCGTCTGGTACCTCTAGCAAAGTCATCGACTTCTGGGCCCTCCGGACATCTCAGCGCCTACAAGGTGACAACCGAACTAACAAAACGGCCAGTATTGGTTGCCGCATACCGGGTGCAACATTGCGCCTACGAAATGGCAACCGAACCGACAAACCAGCTAGTGTAGGTTGCCGCATACAAGGGGCACATTTGCGCCTACGAGATGGCAACCGAACTGACAAACTGGCTGGAATAGGTTGTCGCATCGCAGGGGTACCTCCGCGCTTACGAGGTGGCAACCGGCCCGACATACCATTTAGTATAGGTTGAACATCTCCTAATAACTCATGAAGAATGACGTAATATACGGCATCGTGGACATTTTTTCTTTAATTCCCCTTCATTTCCTAGCACACTTCCCTTTAATTTCCCTTCATTTCCTTGCACATTTCTCTTTAATTTCCCTTCATTTCTGTGACATTTCCTGGTACATTTCTCTATAATTACGCCTCATATTAAAGGGAAATGTAGCAGAAAATGAAGGAAAATTAAGGGGAAAATGTACCAGAAAATTTGAAGTTTTCAAAGTTATGGGACGATCTGAACTGTTATCATTTTTGACCGAAACATCTTGAAGTAATATCGTTACCGCGTGGACGTTTCAACGTGACCCATCGGAGGCGATTCGGTTAAACGAGATTTTAAGAGGTTCCATAAAATTGCTGGTAAAAGCGTGGCTGGACTCCACGCGAACGGAGCTCTATCCTCTCTCTCTCGATGGAATCGACGAGAATAGGAGGCTGGATTTATCTCGGGAATCGATCCACGGCTGCGATAATTGCTCGCAGGAATTTCGTGGCGGGTCGTCGACACGAATCGGGGAACACAAAAACCGGACGAGTCGCGACGTGGCATTTTCTGGCGTCGCGGTTATCGGAATTTCATTATCGGTGCTCCATCGATCGCAGCCTACCGAAAATACCCCCGATAATCTCTAACAACAACCCGCCTCGATAATTATCGTTGCGATTCGCCGTGCATTAACTCTACGAACCACTTCCCTGACACGCGTGGGCATTCTTTGCTTTTCGAGGGAAACCGCTGGAATTATTTTAAAATGAAATTAACATACGCCAGGAGCTCGAGAATTCTTTATTTATTAATTGGGGAATTAGAATGGATGTCCTGATTTTACTGGATTGTATGGATTTAGTGTATTCAGGTTTGTTCGTATCACTGATGAGGCAATAATGATCTATTTAAAATTATTCACTGTGGATGGATACTGCCCTCATCGAGGATAATATTAACCTACATGCATTTACAAGAGAAGCGTAAATTTATTCAATTGAACATTCACGTAGCGAACAACCTCAAGAATGTAACATTCATTCACTTGCATCCGTTATTACATACCAATGCGTACAATTCAATAGGATTAGGATCTCCATTTTAGATTCATTGATTTATGGATGAAGAATGTTTAAATGAATAGAAAAAACTTTACAAATGTCTTATTGTCGTAAGATAATCAAAGTTTTCATTTTCGACTATTGAGGAGGCGTTTACGGGTTAATTACCATCGCGTGGATAAATTCTCTTCACGGGTTTGGAAACCGAGGGTACGCGGTTCACTGGATGCTCCGCGAAACCGGAAGGCGACTTATTTCCGACGTCCCGTTGCGCTAATCCATCCAAAGCGGATTTCAGCTCCCGAGGCTTTCCGTTTCAACTTCTGCACGAAGACAGTCGTCGCCCGAGTCTATAAAAAGCGGGTTCAGGCGAGTTGCGATGCTTTTCCAAGCGGGAATAAAAATTTTACGCGAGGCTCGACATCGACGAGCACAGAAGCAATCGACCCGATTCGAAGAAAGGACAGAAGTGAAGGAATTGAAGCGATCGAACTTGGACACGGTCCAGAGCAGTGGTCGCTAACTGTGATACTTTGTTTTGATGAATATTGCGTTACGTTAAGTTAAATAAAAATTGAAATGCTAGGTTCATTTTATTATTTTATGAGCTTGAGTTGAAGTTTGTATTTAAGAATATATATGGCTGCATCGAGTACCGTATTCAAGAAGATAGGGTGATTGCAATATTTTTATTTTTCGGTCTGCAGTTATTTAACGACTTTATTCAACCGTATTATTGTAAAAAGAAGGCAGAAATAAAATGTCAATACAGGGGCATTGTATTATATTGAGGCAGGGTGGAAGGTTCAAACTGGTTGCCTGTCGCTAAATCGATACGAGGGCGTGTAGAGAACGGTGGCTAAGTTGTTTCGGTAGATTTAATAAATTTTAACGAAAATATGTAGTTTAACATTAAAGGAAAATGTTGAGCTTCGCCACGATTTTATACTCGTGACAATATTTTTAAATTAATATCAAAAATATTCATAATAGTCATAGATCAAATTTAAACCCAATATATTACCAAAAAGGAATACAATAAAAAATTAAAGAATCGAATATTTTATATGCCAACACGAAAGCATGATTTACTTTGAATGTGTTTTGTTTAATCCACGCTATTATCAGCTTTTAGTATACTAACTCGGAGACTTTTGTAGGAAGTAAATGACCAAAAACGATGGCATTGTATAGCAGCTCTATTACGTCTTTTGTAGTTGGCAACCACTGTTGTAAAGATTATGATACAGCTTCAAAGGGACGACGAGGCGTTATTACGATCCTCCAATGGGTTAATCTTCGTTCCAGCCGACAGACTCACGGCTGTCACGTTTGCAGTTGCATTGTCTGGCCGATTAGCACGTTTCCGAAACGAAAGCGGCGTTATGGGGCTTTTTAGGGATTATGCGAATGCATCGCATCGTGCTGGTAACGCTTTTCTGTCAGAGGGTAACGTTCAACAAGACCTGATAACTTAAACATGAACGTATAGGTTATTTCTCGCTTAAAAACACCGGGATAAAACAATTTAGTTCATTCTCCTTTCAGTTTTATCTTTTAATACCCCTTCTTTCTTCCTATCCTAACGTTTATTGCTCTATCAAAGTATTATCGTGTTCCTAAGCAATAGGATTATTGTATCAATGAGGTAATGTATTCTGTCGATAGGATTCGGCATTGTAGAACCCTGCTTGATCGAAGGATATATCGACGGAGCATTCTCCGTTATCAGCAGTGCGATCTACTATACCGAACGGGTGTTCTACGTTACCAAATCTTATCGACAGACTACAATACCTCTTTGAAAGCTAGAATAATGAAATATAATGATTTATACAGCTCTCTGGATTGGAGTCTGGATCGGAGACTCGAGGTAAGACAGTGTCGTACTCACCAGCGATAATAACACGCGCAGTGTGACTGATCTGTCCCTCTCCGTTACGGGCGATGCACGTGTAATCCCCGATGTCCTCGTTCTTGATCGTCGAGATCCTGAGCTCGGTGCCGTCGTTGAATATCCCAATGGTGCTCGACGGCTCGACTGGATTCGCGTCCTTGTACCAGAGGATTTCAGGCGTTGGCGTGCCCTCAGCCTGGCAGTTCAATATTATCGCGTCGCCCACGTTCACGTAGATCATCTCCTCCGGCGTGATGCTGAACTTTGGCGGTGCTGCGGAAACAAACCACGCGTTCTTATCCCCTCGTGCGGTTCTCGACGCCACGAACGAATCTAGTGAAATTGAAAGAGGATCGGTCCAAAGAGGATAGACCAGCAGGAACCGCTCGATCGAGGTTAGAGCCCCGTCCCACCCCCATCACACGTGAAATTATGCTCGAAGGTATTTCAACACGTGATTTCGATTCACAGTGTAGCAACTTCTGCTCTTTATTTCACGTGGATGCGTATTTAAGGTTAAATGCATTTCAATACACACTGTTATTTTCAACCTATAACCATCTGACTCTGAGGAAATATACGTAATCTAGATATTTGAAGATTCATTGTATTTTGTTCTTTAATATTTCACGCAATACCGTGTCCGTAAGTATAATGTATATTTTTGTCAGGAGTCAAGTAGGTTACACAATAGGTTTACCGAGGATCAAGCACTTGCAATTTGTATTTAATTTTCAAGGTTTTCAAGTTAGTCGAATTGCAAGTATTTTTTAAGAATACATTTCACATATTTCTGTTAATTTGTCACAATTTAAACAATTACTTTCGAGAACATTTTCCAATTGTTTTCCAAGTTGTAAAATTCAATTAAAGCGTCGACACTCAAATCGTACAAATGCATTTGAAATTTATCCTGGGTATTAAATTTGACACATCGTCATGCATTGCGATAAATTGAACAATTTTTCAAGCGAATAAATAATGCGAATATGACAGTGGCGGAAAAATAGCTCGTAGATTTCGTGTTGAAGGATGAAAATGACAGTGCATGATGAGATTTCCCTCAACCTTAAAAATCCAACGACGGCCATCTCCGATGAGAGCGCGGTATTCTTTTAACGGCGGGTCGTCGAACGGTCGAAGAAGATGCCGCGACAGCGTTGAGACGATGCATTAACTCCGTGAAAACGGCATTAAGGGAACAATCAAACCCTCGAATCGCGAACAGCTCAGAAAACGCTTCTGCCGGAGCTCTTCGAACGTTTTTATCTTCGAGGAGTTTCCCATTCGGTAGGAATCACGCCTGGCCCTTCAACGACTTCGACGACCGCCGCGGCGCACAAAGGCTGGTCCATTTTCGCCGCGCAAAGCGTCGCTCGTCGCGGTGTATTCGCGAACAGAGAATAAAGAAGGGAAAGAAAAGCGAATCTACGCTGGGAGACAAGAAAATTCACCCGGACTATTACCGCAGCGTCAACGAGGTCTCTCGACCACTTTAAAAAACCGCTTTATGGCTTCGCGATCCGAGAGAAATCGGTGCTGATCGCGATTCTCGATGGCAGAAATCATTTTTCACGAGACGAAGGACTCGAAAACTATTTGCCGAACGTTCTATAGAGGAGAGTTGCGTATTAGTGCACCTACTGCATTTTCATGAATAACTTTATCGATTAGAGGATTCTGTATTGCCGAGTCTCATCGACAAAATCTATCTTACTAAACGTTGCATTTGAGATCGAGCACACTACCGACCGAGCTTTAACCTCATTTATACATTAAAATTCTCTATAACTCGATAAATAAAAATCACGAATATCTCTCATCCTAGAAAGACTTCGAGTGGAACGATTTTCGCAACTCTTCTCCGCGACAGGGTTGCCCGGGGGTCGATCGAGCAAACGAACCAGATTAATAATTCGTCGATTGCAAGGTACATGTAACAGCTTTTCGCGGACACGCGCGGAGAAGTGGGGATCGGAAGAAACTAGGCAGACAAAGAGCCGTGGGCGAAAACACGAGGGGCGGGAAGGGGCGGGGTGGGGTGGGGTAGCGGAAGCAGGGGCAACAGTTTACGGGGTGTAACGCGAGCAAACGAGCGGACAGAGACGACTTGAAAAGTACAAAGGGAGCCTCTGAACGCTTTCGCTGGCCGAGTGGTTCTCTCTTTGACGCCGCTGGCAAATCCTCAGTCGTCGCAAACGTCGTCGCTGACGTTTCCCCGCGTCATCCGCGTCGACGTCGACGGGCGTCGAGTGTGGCCGTGGGCTCGACGTAGACAAGCGTAGACAAGCGTCGACGAGGAACGACGCCCACTCGGCTGGGAACGAGGAACGCGTCGTAGGAGGCGTCGACGAGAGGAGAGGGGTGGGGGTGGGGGTGGGGGACCGAGGAATTTCCTAAGCCCGTCTAAATGTTTCTCTACCCCCGCGGCCCGTTCCCGCCGTCGTTTATGGCCGAACAAAACGCGGCAATAAGTTTTCCTTTCTCAGCGCCACCATTTCTCTCCGCTCCTCTGGTTCCCTATCGCTCGGTTCAGCGACCTCGCGTCGTCGACGACGTCGTCGAGCGTCGCGTCTACGTAACGCGTAAAACTTTATCGCGTCGCTCGACGAAAGAATTGAATCGAATTCACCCGGGAACGACACCTACGTTTCACTGTTTTTCCTTAGTTTCCCTTTCCACTTCCTTTAACGTCGTTTTCTCTTTTCGTTTCTCTTTTATCAGCGCCGCTTAACGGATATTCTCCTCGGTAGCAGTGCTTCTCAAATATCAGCCTGTTGTTAAAATTATTGGACGGAGGCCTTCAAGCACCCCCTCCTTCTTTGTAAATATCCTTTGTTCAATTAAATTTACTTTGAAATTACACATAGTCTTGAACGCAATTCCACCATTTTCCACTTTGATCGTACTTTGACCCATAAAATCATTCCTTAGATTCTACGGTATATTTTTTATTTTTTTTTTTTTACAAGGGTAGAGAAACACTGCCTCATGTTATTCGCGTCCATCGTTTCGACGTGCGTTTCTTCGAGGGTATAAAAAATTTACTGGTCCTCGCGAAATGGGCGAGGAAAGGAAGAGGGTCGGTAACGTTCGCCAACTCTGCAAGTTCCTGCCCGCGTTACAGCCGCCGTAAAAGTGCGCTAGTCGTCGTGGCCGTAAAATCTTCTTAAGCTTCTAGGTAATATTAATGAGACGCTTCGAGGTACGATTGAACGCGACGTAACTACGAGTCACGAAACTGATAGAACTTTCGATTCGAGAAGGAGCGCCCCTTAACCCCTTCGTGGACGCGCAGTGATTATCTTTTGTTAACCAGCCTGTTTTGTAAGCATAACGGAATTGATAGAAAATAATTATTTGAAAATTTAATGTAAATTGATTGATTACGATTATTGAATTATATACTATTCTATGCATTTGAAAATTACGCTACATGTGCTGAGGATGATGTGGCAGAATTTAAAGAATGATCTTTGATGGGCACAGAGCTGATACTGTCGTAATAAGACTGTTGACGTTTAAGCAAATTCATATTTTTCCATAAACATCGGTCTAGTGATAATAGTATGAATTAAACGATCAATTTCAAAGTGGTGATAATTTAGAATACATTATTTTGTATTAAATGTAGTATAAATTGTTTGAAAGTGGCACGAAGGGGTTATCAAAATTGTCTTTGTAAATGTCGTTGGAAATGTAGCGGTTGAAAATGAACGTGGCGTTAATAGGGATCGAAAGGTACTCACCATGGACGTCCAGGTGAAACCAGGTACCATTCTTGTGACTGTTGGGCGACCTGTTGAGGAAGACGACCTTGCACTCGTACCATCCTTGATCGGTCTCGCGGATGTCGGTCAGGTTGAGGCTCGCCACGCCGTACGGTGAATTGGGGCTCACCTTCGAGACTCGACCTTCGTAACCCTCGCCACTGTGGGTCGGATACGACTCGTACCATATGTATATCGGTATCTCCTGCCCCTTGCACCAACACCAACACGCAACATAAACGAGGGATCGCCATAAACGGGCACGTACTGGTGCGAGACACGTTCTTTTGGGAGCTCGAGCGAAGCTACGATTTCAAAGGCGTATTCTTCGATCGTGTGCTAGATTTGGTGGCGATACGCTGACCTTGAACATTTCTGGTCTAATGGTACCTCGTTTACTAGACGATCGTACAGTATCGGAGGTTCTGACACACAGAAAAGCTAGGTGCTGCGCGAAAACTTGAAATTTCTCTCTCGAGAGATCACGATCGACTCGCCTGGCTCGCGATCAAATGTCAAGTAGATATCTAAATACTCGCTCGCACCAGCCGTTAGGGGGTAATGAAATGACAAATGACGAAGACAGGAGATGCAGCGTGTGTGAAGAGCGGGAGAACGATCTACGATTGGCCGCGACTCGGTCCAGATAGGCATGGTCCTTTGCGAACGTAACGAGCACAAGTGTCCTTCCTCTCTGTAATCCAACGACGCGCCCGAGGAGGATTTCTCTGAAACTTTCATGCTCGTTACGTTCGCCCTGGTCAGGAGGACGCCACGACAACTGGCATTCTCCATGCAAGACTCTGCTACGGCGAACAAAGGGCTCCGATGAAATAGTAATCCCCGGGTACGTGCATGGGCGAAAGAGGCTGTTGGGAAGCTGAGAAAGAATACACCAAAAAAGACAAATTTCATCTAATCGAGCGTCCGCTTTAAAACATTTTTATCCTTTCGGTGGAAAATTAATCGACTGGACAGACTTTGTTTTTGGAGTTTCTTAGCTGTTAATGGACACTCGATTAAGACTGAAAGTCTGTATTCTCCAAAAAGATTTTCCAAAAGGATCCCCAGGATTGTGTTAACGAACAAAATTCTGAAGCTCCTCTTGGAGAATCTTTCGCAATATCCATGAAAAGTTTCCATGCGAAACGCGTGCCATGCAAGAAGGATCATCGATCGCCGATAGCCATTGCGGAGAATTAAGGAACTCGAGCGTAAACGATCGTTCGATCGACGAAACAATTTCGTTACCAGCGATCGATGATCGTCGTTATGCAGCGACAGTAAAGTCTGATACAGATAGGGAGGCATCGTGCAATGGGTCGACGCATTCGACGAGAATGGAAGAGCTTCCTCGATCGGTCTCAGGGCATTGTTTCCGCGCGTTTTGCGCGAAACGGAGAATAAAACGGTTGCTTTTCGAAACGTTTCGTTGCTCCCCCTTCCCAGAAAATTACTGATCGAAGACGCAGATAGAAGCAGACGAATTTCAATTTTCTGCATGATTTTTCTAAAGGGCAGTTCCCTCTTTTAGATAGAAAAAGATGGTTTATATTAATTAGGGCAGTATATCTGCAACAATAGATGGAAAATCTATTATTTCTAATGCAGAAATTCTCTTCCTCTCTAACTAGGTGGTCTAACAAAAAGTTTCCTCAGGAGTCAAGCACCATTCTAGCATTCAGCCATCACTCGTCCGTTTCTGATAGTCGATCGTCAGAGGCGTAGCGAGTCGACCGGGAAAATTGGCAACGCCGAGAGACGGGGAAAATATTTCCACGACGATCGTTCCCATTTCGTGTTCCATTCTCGTCGCGTCGTCGCTTCGTCAACCGATACTTATCGGGCCTGCGTCGAGAGGCAAGAAATCGTTCGCAGAAACGACGGATCTACTCATGTCTGGCACGGAACGGGGCCATTCTACTGGCGCGCGTTTGGCAGCCTGTACGAGGGTAGAAAACACACAAACACACAAACAAACACACACACACACACACACACACAGAGGGAAGAGAAAAAATAGAAGAAGAACGGGGAAAGAAAATAGTCGAAGGAGCAAGGAAACTCGGGAAACGTGCCGTGACGATCGTACGTTGGCCATTGACTGCCCCAGTTGACGGTTTCTATTTCGAGCTGGCCTACTTGCGGCGACGAACGGCGTCGTCGCCGGCCGGCGTCGCAGACGTCGTGCTCCCAACCACGACATCACAAACGATTTCAATATTATTCTCCCCCTTTGAGCCGCGGAGGACTCGTTCGATATCTCGATTCCGCGGATGTCGCGCCCGCTACAGGGTGCCCCATTTAGGAGAAGAGTTACTCGAGGAAGGCTTTCTCCAGTAGCTTTCTACTTGTCTTAATGGCGTTGAACAAAATAGAAATTTTTGGTAAGCATAGGAGTGATACTATCGCCATGTATATGAATTTTTGAAAATAAAGCTTCATATAGGAATGCTGAGGATTTTAAGAAAATGTTTTCTTTTCATTCCCTTCATTCTCCATTTGCCATCAGTACCAACTAGATATCCTTTACTAATTCCTTTCAAATAACCATCGCGATAGTTTGCATCGAATTTTGTTTACCTAAAGCACGCAAAAGTTGCGAGACGGAATGCAACGAAACTGGGATAAATTACTGGGCTGAATGGCACTTTCGAGGAGAGTAGGCCGAGCCCACCTATTTTCTCGTAGCCTGGCGCAACTCTGGTTTTCCGATTTACGAACCGGAGACGAAAGATGGGAAAGAGGAAAAACAAGCTTCCCTCCGCTAGGATACGTCGGCGTCGGCGGCTTCGAGCCTCGGCGGAATAAGTCGCACTCACTCGCGCGAACGCTCCGCGTTTACACCTACGAACCGCCCATGTAGGTCAGGTGACTGTTTTTATTTTACCCAGTTCACGAGCTCTTTTGTCTCCTCTCGTTCTATTAGGTTGGCGCGCACGTCAAGTACCGTTCTTTTTTTTATTTTTTTTTTTTATTTGTAATGTTTGAATTCTGCGCTACGACCACGCAGGTTTAACGACGTTTTATCGTCGATTGTTGCGCGTCGCATTCAGAAAGGACAAAATGTTGTCAACCGCGTGAGTGCATCTGTTCTCAAGGAGATTTACAGGTCCTCATATTTACTGGAATCTTTAACATTTTCAAATTGAGAGATGATGCGTTACTAACAGATTGTGTTAAATTGTTCCAAAAGTTTCTTTTCCAAATGTTTTATGTTTTATGAAACTTCTTGGTGCAACCTAATGTATCAGATTGAAAATTCAAATTAAACCACGAAACTTTTCTTTCGAGAACCTAATGTTGCTCCTGTTAATAGAGCATCCTATTTTTCCATTAAAATTCATTTTCACAAATACATTATCAGACTCGATTATCCCGACCGAATTCTTCAAGGATTAGGGTCGTTTGTGAACCAAGATGAACTCCGTCAACGTACGAAACGTCAGTCCAACCCTCGAGGGATTCATACCCCTCGAGTTTCCAGCCTCCCAAGAGAACGCAGGAAGCTTTCGCCGAGGAACTTGTCAACTGACAGACGAGGGCCTCGTTTTCAGCGGTCGAAGAATGAGTTTCGATGATTCATGTCGCGGTTCCCCGGACGAGAGGATGACACGGACTGAGGAAATAAAGCGTCATCGGGAGGTAGCCAGAGTTCTCCCAAGGGTGGAGAATCGCTTTCCATGCGCGCGAGTTCGGGAGAAGGAACGAGTAAACGGATGCAAGAACGGAAGCCGCATGCGGCACGTGTTGCGGAAATTTTGATAATTCATCGCTCTGGTGAGCGGGAGCGTACCCTCAGTCTCGGTTCTTTCGCTCGAGGGATGAAGGTTCATATATTTACAGGAGGCTCTCTCGTGTCCTCCGGAGATCGAGCGGAACTCCAAGCTAACCGAAACGAGTGAAATGTTAACGAGGCGCGAGCAGCGATGGGAACGAATGCCGCGCGAATTGGAACGGTTCTGGTAAAATTTTATGTATTTGTTCGAAGTGGATTAAACATATCTTCATGAAAATGTCATAGTATCATTCGCGAGGTTTTCCGGGTTAAAATGAGTACAAAACACGACCACATTCGGACTCCTTTTCATTTCAGGTTATTTGCAGAATTTTTTAGTAAGCTGTGAAAAAGCTGTAATTAAAACTAGTCCGAATGGGGTCATGTTTGAACTCGTTTTTCTCGAGAAAACCTCATGAATCCTTTGCTGATACTTTTTTGAAAATTGAAGAAGATTTAGAAGAATAAATTCTATAGTTACGAACAAGGCATTCTTTTTCATAATAATTCCTGCCACGGATTAAAGAACTTTAGGTTTCAATGAATATCCTGTATCAGAAAATCCGTGGCGACTTACAAGCTGCTCGCCTTTCCTAGATCGCGCTCCTCCGCGTCGAATTTAAGTGCAAATTACCCCCGCCGACAGGATCGCTCGGCGTTAATATTAATCGGGCAATTTGAAGGCGAAGCGAGGGAAATCCCGCCGTCGGAAAATCGAGACCCAACAGTTTCGAGAACACAGAGAACGCTACTAACTTTCGACGGACGCTCGATATTTACCTCGACGCTTTGTTTCAATGTCCTGACATTCAAAACTTTCTGCCCATCTTCGCCCTCTACCCACCCACCCCTTCGTCTTGTTCGCGTAGGTCTATATGTTCCGCGTGGAAATTCATTAACGTGCTCGGGAGGAAGGTGAGGCGGAGTTCTTTCGAGAATCGACCGACTGAACTCGATAGAGTTGCCGCGAGTTCGCTCGGAAGCGAGAAGAAAGACCAGGGAAATTGTTCCGGCGATGGTTTCGCGAAACTCACTATTTTCGCGGCAACTTCTACCCCGAGCGTTTTCTCGACAACGGCAGATCGATACTAGTTCCCCAATTTTCTGTAATTGGAATTGTTCTCGCTGAAAATATTCCATAAAGCAGCGTTCCCTTGATATAACACCACTAGTTGGGCCTGTTGGTGGTGTTATATCGAGGAGAGGTGGCGATTTTAGTTCAAGAATCGAGACTGAGCGATAGAAATACAAATTTTTCTTAAGACTGGATATAAGTTGTCTTTGGGACTATTCTTACGTCAAATGCACTAAAAATATTTGTTCCACACATGTTTCGAATACATTTTCTTTCCTCTCCAATGTTCACTTTCTTTGCAAAGCTTTACATTCGGTCTATTCTTCCGTGCCCTTCCAGGAAACGGGGTGCAGTCTAA